GGGTTGTTTGAATTAAACAATAAATACTTAAGTACTACAAGGTAACACTGTCTCCTATAGGTTACATTAAAGTATTAAATGCGAACGTTTCATCTCTGCTCATATTTAAGGAATTTACTGTAACCTATGTATTACAGTACATCTTTCAATTAAATGTTCGGAATAAATTTTTTTATAATGCGTTCATTATGATATTTACTCTAACCTAAGAAAATATAATTTCATAGGTTTTATTAATTACAAATATATATACATAATATGTACAAAAATATGTATTATTTTTAATGCAATTTAGAAACACCAAATACATTATCTGTATTATTTATAATTTGGTGTACTTTACTACGCTATGGATAATATATTTGGGAAAGAAGATTCTGGAAATGAAAGCGAACATATAGATATTGAGGAGAAGGAAGGAAAGGATAGTCCCTTGCAAAATTCTGGGGCCAAAGATGTAGAATCAATGGATGTTGATAATATACACGTTAAGGTATGTTATATGATATTGCTCATAATCGTAATATATTTTGAATTTGAGTACAACATGAAGTATTTTTAAGCAATTATCGTTTATACGTATACCTCATTCATAATATTAGGAAGAATTTGATGCAATGAGTTCACAGTCTCAATCCGATGGAGAGGAAGTAGGATCTAATTTATTATGTACAGTAGTAGAAGATCAATTAGAAATTGTGAAACATGAAATTGAGAATAGAGAAGAAGAACAAACTACAGAGGATATATTTGAAAATGATATATTACTGCCTCATGTAAATCCAACAAATGTCAAAGAAAGGAGAGAAAGTAAAGAAAAAAGTAAAAAAGAATTAGAAGAAGAAGAAAGAGAAAAAATGCAGTACGTATCTAAAGTTTTTATTGTTAGAAGTATATATTACTTTATATATTATTATTATTATTTTATAGTATTATATTGTATTATTATAATAAAGATGTTTGTTTCTTAACAGAGTCCTAGTCTCAAATTTTACGGAAGATCAATTAGATAGATATGAAATGTATAGAAGGGCAGCTTTTCCAAAAGCTGCAATAAAAAGGGTAATTATTTTTATTTTACTCTTTTCTATTTATGTTTTCTTAAATTGTTTCATAGATTGCATTCTGCATTGTAGATTATGCAAACTATAACAGGTTGTTCAGTATCACAGAATGTGGTCATCGCTATGTCTGGTATTGCTAAAGTGTTTGTTGGAGAAATTGTAGAAGAAGGTAATACTTTAATTGTTTATTAAAATCTCTGATCAATCAGGAACTTACTTTTAATACAAATATAATTTTTAAACTAGCTCTTGATGTTATGGAAGCTCACCAGGAAACAGGACCATTACAACCAAAACATTTAAGAGAAGCAGTTAGAAGATTAAGGCTTCAAGGGCAAATTCCAAACGGTCGTGCACATAAAGCATTTTTCCGACTATAAATACTGCTTAACATCACCGTTTAAAACTGTGATTCAAAACAAATGTTTCTAATAACTAGAAGAAGTCGAATACATATTTTTGTATAAAAAGTGTGATAAATACATAATACACTAATATACATACAGAAAGTTATTACATTGTAAACATGTATAAAATGACCTAAAAGAAAGTGCTAGAATAGGAAAATGCACTTTTAGTTAAAAATATGAAAGTTATGTTAATTAATGATTATCTAGTTATGTATGTGGTATTAATTCTATTTAAATGAATATGTTATATTTTTAGTTACTTATTACAATTTTCATTTTCTCTCTCTTTTGTTTATTTTATTTATATTCTTTAGTTTTATCAAGAGTGTTTTGTAATTATGTATGTAAATTAATGTATTTATTTAAATTCCTCTTAATATTATAAATATGACGCAATTTATGTAATTTACTGCACTATAAAGTGAGTAGATAAGCATAACAAAATACCTAAATACGTTATGAAGTGAATAGATTAGTATTTGTGAAAGAATAATGTACAATTTTGTATAGATTTATTAAATGTTATTTCAGGTATGATAGATAGATAAAATTATTAAAAAAAAATTAAAAACGTTGTTTTATTTCTTAAATTACAACGAATTTAGTAACAAAATCTCTAACATGTTACGATATGTTTATTGTTCAAGTTTCTGAGAACCTAATAATACAGTGGATGTATCACTTTTCGTTTTACACGTTTTTTACGTTTTTAATACTTTGCTTAATTTGAAAAATTAGAAGACAGAAACTATTAGTAATAATTGAACATAGTCAAATATATATCTTATTGTAAATAACTGAATACATAGACATAATATATGTTCTGTGGATAAAGTTGTCAAATAAATTGTTATTTACCTCATAAGGTTATTTTTTACGTTAATTTTAATCAATTTAATTAAATCGCATTTTATTACTAAGATATTAGAAAAGATTAATATGATATGCGATTACTACCTACATTGTTATTAGTTTGCATTATTCTAGAAAAGCCTGACAATGGAATTAAATTTGGAAAGTTATACGCCCTTAGATCGGAGGAAAATATTTTAAAGTTTGATTCAAGTGTTTTAATAACTAATGTAATTTATAAATGGTACATGTAATTTATATTAAGTTGTATAATTTTTTTACATTTTAAAAAAATTATACGATTTACTGTCGTATATTATTTATTGTTTACATTATTGCACTAGTCATGAAGATTAACATTAAGTTTGTGACATTAGTATACACGATAATCAAGACGAGAGCTTCACTTTTGCCGAGTTAAATTCCATACAAAAAGATCGAACAAATACGACAAAAGAGAAAATTATTCCACATTCTTTCGTACTTATTAACGAAAGCGGTAAATATGTCAAGGTCAGTCATTGAAAATAAATGTATTAATCGCTACGATATAATTTTTTATTTAATATGAATTTAATATGTTGAATACAGTTCGATCAATTAGTACCGCAATGGCATAGTTTATTTTATTGTAAAACTTCAAATCACGGGCGTAAATTACTCAATTATTTAAATGAAGAACATGATGAAAATTTAATGAATAGCCAGGCATTATATAAAATCAATGCACAATCACTTAAAGAAGAGCAAAAGAACTTTTTGACAAATGTAGAGGATTCTACTGAAAATCGTAAGTAAATAAATATGTTTATGTCAATTACAGAAGTTTACACATACTTAAATGTGTTTGTTATTTAGCGAACTATTGTATTTCGTTTTTCTGATGTATAAGCTAAGCTATTTTTTAAATACTACAGATAATGAACTATGGGATGAGTGGAGTAATTGGAGTACATGCAGTGTAACATGCGGAAGTGGTCGTCAAGTTCGTTGGCGTCACTGCTCAGCAGAACATTGCATAAAAGGATTAAAGAGAGCACAAATAAAAGCATGTGACTTAAAAAAATGTGATTCTAAAAATATTCTTAATTGGCTCGGTCTTAAAACCAAACAGTAAATTGATTAAAATGAAAATAAACGTTACATATTTGATATTATATAGGTAATTATAGCTTATTTTAATTATAATTTATATTGATATTGATAGTAATGAAATATTCTCAAATTTTGTATAAATTTTTTACACGAATAATAAACGTATGATGGAAATACATTTACCGAATAAATTTGATTTAAATGTTTGCAGAAATTTTTTTTATTTTATCCCCCCAGTTAATTTATAATTTGTTTCAGAAAACATTGGACAAATTATTTTATGGTTTTGGTTACGGTATAATGAAGGTACTCTCTCAATGGATCGTAGCCGAGTGTGGGCAAGCTATATTGTTGTCACGACGTTAGATCATTTGTGTATGTTTTGTGCAGTCTTCTTGTAATATTCTTTTTAAATAAATTGTTTGCTAGATTGTTTGGGTGTTTGTCTAGTCGGACCTTGTATTCTTTCGAGAAGCTTTCAATTTCTTCTTTTATTGTTTTAATTCCTAGATTTCTTCGGAAGTTCTCGTTACGGATATACGACGAGGCATTAACAACAGTGTGTAGTATATGAGATTGTAGTGTTTCAGAGAATCTGCGTACTTTAGTGTATTTATTTGAGGTACATTTATGTCATTTAGAGTTACCAATGGAGAATTTTTCTTTTTTAATGTGAATGTGATGTGGTTGGAATTTTCTTCATTTATTTTTATTTTTCATTTCTTAAAGTATTCTTGCACTTGTGAATACTTTGTTAATAGCAAGGATTGCAGTATCATCTGGGAATATTGTTAAATTTATTTAGGGAGTAGTGGATATGTCAGTGATGTAAATAGCATATAATATTGGTTCGAGCACATTTCCCTGGAGAATTCCTGTTTTTATCTCAAAAGTGTCAGAAATTGAGTCTTAAATTTTGAATGCAAGGGTTCTGTCAATTAGATACGATTTAAGTAAGTGATTAAGAAAAATCACTGTACATTATTTTTTATTTTCAATACCTGTGAAAATGTTATTAATCATTATGTATACTTGTTCAGTTGTTGCATGCGTTTTTAGAAAACTAGATTGGTGGTTAAGTATCAGTTTTTTGGGAGTAACATTGGTTAAGTTTCTGATGTATGATTTGTTCTGGAACTTTAGATAAGGCAAAAGGAAGAGAGATAGGTTTATATGATGTAACTTGTTAAGGATTTTTGTTAGGTTTTTGTAACACAATAATATTTGCAATTTTCCATTGCTTTGGGAAATATTTAAATTAAGTAATCTAGAATACTTGTTTCTATACTTGTTTCTTGTTTTTTGTTGGAGTAGAAAATAGAGTTGCTTCTTGCATTGTTTTGTTAAAATATTCTATAGCAGCTCCTAGTTCATTTGATGATTTTAGGGAAATGTTGTAGTTAATGTTATTGTGCAGCATTTCCCTAAACAGATTTCAGGTCTGTCTGTATTGTATAGGTTGGCAGTCTTTTGTATTTTGGTAGACTTTTGTGTAAGTATTATGATGATTGGTGAATAATCAGAGTTATTAATGATAAAACAGATCTAAAGACATTGATTTTCATCGATTTATTAAAGTAACAATGTATCATCATGTAAAATGAAATATTTGTTAATTAAAATTTCTGACTTTATATCTTTAGCCATGTCATAATAAATTATTTAGTATTATAATATAATACAACACGTATAATAAAATTCTTCAATTTATAAATTTTTTACTCTTACAACTTACTTTTACAGTATTATAATTAATTGTAGCAAATACAATGTTTTAAATATATTGTTGAAATTCTTAATCAATGAAATTTAATTAACCTGATCTTTTTTATTATGTTAGTACATACTTCACATACGGAGGAAGTAAAAATATATTAATATACATATACATATCATGGCAATTTATTCTATAGAAATGCGAATACAATTATAGTTTATAAAAAAAAATGTAAAAATTAACAAATTTATTAATAACAAATTGCTTAAAGCATAAATTTATAATAATAAGAAAAAAATTATTAAATTCTTGGTTATTATAGAAGAAAAGTAATTATTAATAAAATCGGCAATGATCGTGACTTTCCGCCAATCTTCGACTGATCGTCGGCTATATAAAAACCGCGCGAATTGAGAATGACGTCATTTGTCGTTCTGAGTTCGGAGTGACCGTATTTACAGTTCTGTCGTGCGGGAGGGGTTGGTGACGGGAGGGAGTGGTCAGTGGTCATTGGCTAGTAGACCCTTACATTAGACGATGACCATTGTCCATTTTATCCACGCTCTGATCCTCATAAAATTAAATAATAATTTTTTTTTCTGTTTTGTACAGGATTCTGTTTCTTGGGTTTCTCATCGTTCTCTATCTCATCGGCTACTCTACGCAACGTACTCCTGTGGACTCAACGATTCCATCCTTTGTAAGTCATTCTCACGACTCGCCTCCGACACTCATTTCTAGCCATTGGTCCGATCGGAAGGATATTGGAGCATGAAATTGTTTAGTGCACGAGAGTATGTCGCGTAGGTTAGTCGCATCATTTCACTTTCTCGTGTCTTTGATATTTCATTCCCTATTTTTATGGGAACTTCAAAATATTAGGATTTGTTGTAATAAAATATCTTAGCGTTGCGACAGTAGAGTTTTAATATACTGAATCGAAATCCTTTTGTAAGACATGAAATTTAACCACTTGTCTTATCATTGGAATTTCAATGGCACGTACCATAGTCAACAGAAACGTCGATCATGTGTCGAGCCACTCCTTGCAAATGCAGTGAAGAATAAAACACGCAACAGAAAGGAGAGTACAAGTCCTTCGGGTCACCGATTCAGTTGAAACTTTGCAGGATTTTAAATATCGTCATGCAGTTTAAGAAAATATATCATTATAGCCGCAACTACTGAATAGTTTTTAAGATATTTGCGATTAAAATTTTAGTACTTTCCTAATTATAGATTTATTTCCAAATTGATTTAAGTGCAAATGTAGCCTAACGGTGACGGTCGAGAATTATTATACTGGAGGACCGAGGTTCGATTCCCGTCCATGGTTGTTTTTCAATATATTTTTTATTTTATATTCATTTTTCAATTATGAAAACATTGTAAATACACAATTATAAATAAAATTTCTTAATAAAAAAATTTATTTATTACGCTTTCTTATGCTAGTATATATTTATTTATTACAAAATAATAAGAATATTATGCAAGAAAAATACTTTACTATAGCAATCTTATGTACTACAGGAAGTACAAAACCTATCGTTCATGTAAGTAATAATTATTAAATTAAACATCCTATAAGAATGTTGCCTATAATTCCAACTTTGCTGTGCAACCACAAATGTTCATGAATTAATTACAAAAACTTGAAAATTTATTAATTTTCTACTGCCAAATTGATTTATTAATTACGATTTATTAATGTTAAATTTTTATCGTCTATTAAAATGAAAAATTGTACTGCCCGTGCCATCTATGATTTTGGACCCGAAGCTCAGAAAGTAATAGGAATATAGAATAGGCATGGAGGTCGTCGAAGAGCTCGCCACGTGACAGACAAGGACAGAGAGGGAATAGAAAAGGATAGAATGGCTCCGGCAGTGAAAATTCATTAATTACTCAATATCTGTGAATAATTTATGAACTTTTATAATTCCATCATAAAGGCAGATCCTTTAAAAACTTTCCAATATATTTTTCGATATAGATTTGCCCCTAATTAATTAATTATTATTAATTATTCTACGAAATGTTTGAATTATTGTTGAAGATTATCGAAGACGCCATTGGTTTTTCATTAATTACTATCCTTTATGCAATTAATTTATGAAACTTTATGCACTCATTATAAAAACAATGTTCTTGCGAATTTTCTCATATCACTTTTGTTCACATTTTGATTCTAGTTTCGGTGAGTATTAAATATTTTCTCGAAAGGTCATGATGGTCGTCGTTACGAAATCATAGACGCCATAAAACAAAAATTAATAACTAACAATTTAGAGTTAAATTCTTTACGAATATTACATAAGAATGTAGCCTGAAGTTCCAGCTTTTCTTCGACGACCTCCTTGCCTATTCTATATTCCTGTTACTTTCTTGATTTTTGTGCCCAAATCATAGATGGCGCTGATCGCAGGCGGTAAAATTTTTATTCGAACTGGATACTAGAAATCAATTCGACAATAGAAAATTAATAAATTGCCAAGTTTTTATAATTAATTCATGAAAATTTATAGCTGCACAGCAAAGTTGGAATTATAGGCAAATAGGATGTTTAATTTAATAATTAATTTAATAATTAATACTTACATGAACGATAGGTTTTGTATTTCCTGTAGTAAATAAGACTGCTATAGAAAAGTATTTTTCTTGCATAATATTCTTATTATTTTATAATAAATAAATATATACTAGCATAAGAAAGCGTAACAAATAAATTTTTTTATTAAGAAATTTTATTTATAATTGTGTATTTACAATGTTTTCATAATTAAAAAATAAATATAAAATAAAACATATATTTGAAAAACCATCGTCGGGGGAATCGAACCCAGGTCCTCCGGTATAGTAATTCTCGACCGTCACCGTTAGGCTACATCTTTACTTAAATGAAGTTGGAAATAAATCTATAATTAGGAGAGTAATAAAATTTTAATTGTAAATATCTCAAAAACTATTGAGTAATTGCGGCTATAATGATATATTTTCTGAAACTGCATGACGATATCTACAAACCTGTAAAGTTTCAACTAAAGCGGTGACCCGAAGGACTTGCACTCTTCTTGTGAGACAGGAAAACATTTGCGAAAATTAATCACGAAAATATACGAAGCGAACAATGTTTACGTTGGACTCTATCTACAAATCGCAGCTCTTCACCTGTGATATTCGTGTTTAGCCCGATCTCCTTACTACGTCTTACACGATATTGTAGACAGAGTTTAATAAAGTGTCAGTAGATTCGTTTTAATTTCATTCGCTTCGTATTAGATTAGGTTATGTTTGGCACGGATTGCGCTATAGTAGAACGTATTGTCTAGGTCTCGATACGTAGTATCCTTCACGTGGTGAAACCTGGTAATTAGTATTGTTTTGAGAGAATAATTTTTAGGAGAGGATACCAAGCAGAATTACGCTCCAAGTTTTAGATATGTGATATGTATTGTAAATTTTTAAAGTTCCTTTTTAACTTTGCAAATAACGAGTGAGCAGTATTTCTTGTAATATATAAGTTAAGATAAATTAAGCTACGTTAAATATAAAAATTTATTGTTAAGCTCCGAAAATGTAAAATAATTAGATTTTTGCAAAGAACTCATTTTACGTACACATATAAACGTATTTACCTCTTGTGTCCTTTACAGAATTCATATTTCTTGCATTTTTCGTATTTTTTAAATTCTTTATATCAATTATATTTTTCTACCTATAAATTCTTTAAACTTTCTAAATATCGTATTCCGCATTAGCCTATATTTTATTTTTGTTAAACGGTGATGTGTCTGTATTCAAATCGTACGATACGATTAATAATTTTGTTTAATCTGTATTCATATTAATCGCTCTTATAATTGTAAAAAAATTATTAGATAAGTTCGTTTATTGGTAAATAATTTTAATCAGTACAAGAAATTACGTAAAAATTAATCGATTAGTAATGTAAACTGTGCTTTATGATTAGATGAAGTCATTTGTTAAATTATTAATAATTATAATTGTTCTTACGGAATGTTTATTAATTTTTCAATCCGAAAGTTATTTAAGTAACACCTTATTATCTCCTTATAAACAATTGTCTTCTGTACTTAAATTTGCAAATATTCAACAAGAAAATTTAAACAACGCGATACAATCATTAAAAGTTGCTAATAATGATGAAGATAAAAGTGGAGAAAATGAAAAGAAAAGTATAATAAAAAAGTGGTTTATTATTTTTATGTTAAATTAAATTGTATCTTTAACAATTTAATTTAATGTTTTACAATTATTTAATAAATTTAATTAAATATAGCAACAAATGTAATAATTGTATAAAAGTAGTTATAATAATTACAATTTTATTAACATAGTTCTAATAGAATAATTATTTTCTATGGATAAATATTATCTGTCACTATTAAGTATAACATTTTTGATTAAATGTTTTTATTTGAAAATCAAATATTTTAATGATAGGTAGAGTGAGTCATCAAGGACCAAAAATATGGGATCAATGGGGAAACTGGTCGAGATGTAGCGTTACTTGTGGTATAGGCAAATTAACAAGATGGAGGCATTGTATAGGTGGAAGTTGTTTATTAGGTGAAAAGAAAGCACAATTAAAGACTTGTACTCTTGCAGCATGTCGATGATTGGGTTATGAACAATGTAGTTTTCAGTATTTTGAAACCAAGATTAGTGAAGTATATGTTCAATTTGAAAGATGATATTTAAATATTGTATATTTTGTATTTGGCCGCTAAATTCAATCTATAATTTTATTTTACTTATTACTGAATATATTTGTTTATAACATCTTATGTCACACCTGAAATTAATTACAACCAAGTGTACTAAAATACCTTTATTTTATATATTAAAATTATCTAAAGTCATGTAATGTTACACACCTCATAGATATTAAACACGTTTCTTTAATAGATGGCATACATTGATGTATGAAAATAATTGATATATCTATTATTCTTCCTTAAAATAAAATATTCTGTTCATTCATTTTTAAAATAATCATTAGTTTTATAAATTGTTGGAGGTTCATACGTTGGTAATTTATTTGGTACCACAGGTTCTTGGGTCTTTTTCTGAAATATTTGCAATTCTGTTAATTTTGTTATCAACACTAGGAAAACAGATATAACTTACAAAGAAAGGTAAACGATTTAACATTCCAAATAATCTGTCAGATACTCCTAGCTCAGCTTCAGCATTATCAACAGCTGCTTCTAGTGTTGCTAGATTTACATTAACCATTGCTATAACATGTTCTAAAGCATCTATTCGTCTGCTAAGATTTACAACTTCTTGTTGCATGCTTTGTAACCTTGGAATGTGGTGATCAATACATTGACTATTTTCAGACTGGACCTTTTAACATAAAATACAATGTACGTGTATTGTGTTTTTTGAAAATGTATTAATAGTTTAAATTATGGTCTCTAACCATTTCAATAATTGATTGAAATTCTTCTAAACGCATCATTACATCTTCGATCGTTTCATGAAAATTTTTCATCTGAAATATAATGTAGCATTATATTTTATGTATTGTATATTTTATTATATTGAGATTTTTGCAACAATAAGATATAAAAAAAATACTCTTTAACAAAACTTAAGGTCTGAACGAATAGTAATTGAGGTTATGTGCAACATTGTACGTACTTGACTGGATAAATCTATTTTTAAATAATTTGCATAGTCCTTAGCTAATTCTTCAACAATTGGCATAGTGTGAGAAGACATTTTTATTTTTCTTGTTTATAACGATTTATTAAAACAATAACGTATTATTTACATTGTTTGTCACTAAAACATCACTTTCAAGACACCATTTTCTTACACTGATAAATGTGCCAAGTTTAAAATGTTTCCGTGTTCCATCAAGATAATTTTTTACGTTTGAAAAGTAAATTACGATTGCAAAAGGACAGATGTTACATGAAACATATTTACATTAAACCAACGTCAAAGATTATTTTTATTAGCATATTTTCTTTTTATTAGCCATAAACAAAGAATTGTTTTCCAATTGATATCGGCTTTTATTGCATACAATAATAAAAAAAAGTTATTTGTGTAATATATCATTAAAATAACAATACAGTGATTCGTAGTATCGCTGATATATTTGAAATTTAATTTATGAAAAATGTTCCAATTTATTAAAATTGCTGGTTAGCTTAGGATACGTAACGAATGATGTAGCAAATGTTTAATGAACAATGAAGAAAAGTGGAGAGGAGGGTTGAGGAAAACGATTTTGTAAAAGGGCTATACAAAAGTCGGTGAACTATAATGTGCATCGAGTTTACATAAGATCTTTGCGTAACGGAAATTTTTGACATGCCTAAGTACTTGCTGCAATACAATACAAATAAGTTTTCTTCGGTGAAAGGTCTAAGTACAAGTTATTGTACTTAAACAAAATGGATCTTTATTCAGATAGTAATTTCGTATTTAAATTCTACCAATGTATCGTATCATCAATTTTGTACGAATTATTATATATTAAATAAAAATTTATCGCGTCAATTAATGTGATATCATCATTAACATTTTTTCATGTATTACAATTCATTAAAAAATATTCATAAATTTCGAGATTTGAACTTTTTAGAATAGAAGAATAGAAGTAGAAGAAGACCTGTATTTATTTTCTTTTCTTTTTCTTTAAGCAATATATTTAACTTGTTCAAATCTGTGACACAAAGATACGTTTATGCAATGTTACAAAAAGTATAATATTGGAACTCACTTCTTCTTCAGTCGTTAACCTTTTTACTTCCTAGGCAATAATTATAGATCGTCTAGGTGATAACCTGAATATCTTAAACGTTGATAGATTCAAATCGATGATACTTAATACATAATAGTATCAAAGAATAATATTACTTCTAAGTGAAAGTACCACTTTATAGGTTATGAACCTAAGGATAGTTAAACAAATATATTGCCAGTCTAATTTCGAATAATATTTCTAACTCGAACCTTTCAATTTTCAAATGTGGCACAAATTACAATTATTTTAATTTAAACGTTGGTTGTTTTTAGAAATTGCAATAAAAACTTGCGTCGAATATTATTTATTTGATAAAATTAGAAATTTGAATTGAAAGATAGACGAAATTGCGTTGAATTTATTACGAATCAGAGATCGCAGAAACTATTTCGGCAAAGAGTTAAATATTAACTGATAAATTTGTACAGACGTCATTCGGTGGGAAAATTTTCGACGAATATAAAACTTACGGAAAATAAGGTAAATAGCTAGTGGTTTTTTATTCGATGCATCGAGTGATGAAGATTCCCGAGGAAAAACTGTTCGAACGGAAAGAAAAAGTGTAACTCGTGAAAGAGACACAGGTGGGGAGACAACGTTACTCGTGCTACGACTCTCAGCTCGTCCCACGTTGAAGCTCAGTGGATTCGAACACCGTGGTTCACGACTGTTCCTCCTGTTCTCGTTTAGTTCGAGCGATTTCACATTGCATTTGTAACTTTCTTACCGGTCCAGCTTACTGAAATCTCTTGAAAGGATTTTGTTTCGCTTTTATTGGACTAATATCGTTAGGTAAGTCTATTTTTCTTTCACCTTCTATTCTTCCTCCTCTTTCACTATTTTTACCGGTGAACCATTTTCTCCGATAGTTGGGATAGTTGCGTCCTATGGTACAACAGAGATCACGTAGACGAAACATTATCGAATTAAAATTATATAGTCATTTATCTCGAGTTTGTGGATATATATTCATTTTCATTTAATCGTATCGTTTCTAATTAATCGTAGATTAAAACGTAGAATGAAACTGGCATGAGGAAATAAATTAGGTGTTTCGTAATATCGACATTGAATTTAGAGAAGATCGGATAACAAGTTGGATAAAAGTATCAATTATCGACAGCTTGTTTTTACGCTCCCGCTGTCCCTTTTTAATTCCTTATTGACATGCATGAAGTTTTAACGTCATAATCATCGTTCGATCAGTTCTTGTTGCACGAGAGGAATTGCAAAAAAATTGCAAAAAGTTCGAAAATATTCCTGTCTCATTTGCATATAAATTTCGTGCTAACAGAGGATTCGACACCGATGATTAATTTTAAATGAGGGTATCGAGAAAAATGTCTCGTTCGTTTTCCTTGACGTTTCGTGTATTTCGCCTGGCAGGAAAAATATAAGTAATTAAACGTCTGCAAGGTAAAAGAAAGGAACAGGACGAGTGGCAGGAATCGTGTAATTTAATCGAGAGAAATCAAAACACGTTACGAAACAAATTAAGAAAGAATGTAGTAAGAAAAATTGACTTTGGATCAAGGGTTTCCTTGTTCTGCTACGGAAAAACAGAACGATATTTTATCAGATCAGACGTTACCGGGTAAACATTTCCTGTTTGTCGTAATTATCAGTTTGCATGGAATTGTTGTATTCGTGAACATCGTCTAAAAATTCGCGAGCAATTTTCGTTATTGTTATTGGTACACTTTATTAATTATGTTACATCGACATAACGTTTCCTCCTGTAATGTTCTAGGAAAAGTTTACATAAGGCTAACAACTAGTTAGGTATACAGGCACGACCATTAGATACTTTCCAAACTACTAACAGCGTTTATTTAGAATCGCGATGTCTTTACTTAAACAAATCTTTGCTTACGCGTTTCGTGCATTTTCAAACAATATTCCACTAAATGGACATAAATTCATCCTCGAGCAACGTTGACATTTCCCCAGGAAAGGAATTGGAAAGAACTTTGATTCGCATATTTCATCTCAATATGTCAATCTTTTTATCGTACACGTTCTTGAGAGCGATGATTAAACTAATTTAAAGAAAAAAATCTGTTCCCCTTTGCGTGTTGATGGATCTTCGCTTGATCTGGAACGACGCGTGTTCTTAGACGATGAAGTATCTGGGATAAAATTCTCTTATCTCGTTTTGACATTTTCCTGAAAAAAGAGACACTTTGCTGCGAATATTAAATTTCAAAAATTTGTCTAATCGCTGTGTATTCAGTCGAGATTTATAGCAGGACACAGTTGCACAAAGTTTGCACAAAGAGCAACTTACTCTTGCATGATCCTTGGCATCGCGAATTACGATAAATCGGATTGATTCCGGCTAAAGCCGATCTATGACCGTACTCGATGAAAGTGTACATTGTATCTGCATAAAGGGAGCAACGTTTGAAAAGTTTTTGCGAAAATTCATGCTATCTGAACACTGCACTGGTTTTGCAATTCGAGTAGAATATTATCGGCGTGAAAGGTCCAAAGAAAGCGAGGCATGTTTAGTGTTGCCACATTTGGCGTTATCGAGTCAGCAGACCATTCACTTTCTCATGAAACCAATTTCGCTTAAATGATATTGGTCAATTAATCGAGATCCAAATTTCGGCAAACAAACGAATAAGCGGGTAATTGTCTTCTCGACGAGGGTATAAGTATACTTAATCGAGGACGATTCAGGAAATGGCGATTGTATAATTTTTGCACGAGTAAACAAACAGCTCTGCATTTATTTTCGTTGATAGAATGTTAAGGTCTCGGCAAAGAAGGATCCACAAATTCTTCAGAAATGGCCTCAATTCTTACGATGTTTTTTTATTCTCTGTCTATTATATTTGAAAATTGCACATTCAGAGTTTACTCTTCTTTTCTTATGGAAAAACGCTACTGTCGTATGTTATTAGGTAACGGGAAAAAATATAATTTATTCCTTGTGTTCTTCTACTCTGTTGGTCAAAGTATTGAATGTATAATGTCTTTACATACGTCATAATTTGTCCATTTGATGGAAGGTTCATAAGATATAATATATATAAATTGATCAGTGATTTCAATATACCAATGTTATTACTAATTGTTATATTCTATTACGAATAACTAGCTAATAATTAATTCTTCTATTACGGCCTTATTATTTTAAACGCGATAAAAAGGTAGTATAATGAATAATTATTTATAAAAACGCTTAAAGTAGGTAAATCAGGATTGACATAGAATTAAAATCGTGTTTCATCATGGTGAAGAATATAGCACGATCATTGAAAAGACTTGCAGATGAAAAAATTGAGGAAGAACTTAGACAAAAAAATGGGGAAGAATTATAGTACGTATATCAAAAGCAAAATCGGGAAGAATTTTTAATAAAAAATAAAAAAATTTATTTACACTGGGTTAATAATTTAGTCACGTTTAGATATTTAATGTCACTTTCTAATCGCTATGGCGATTAAAAGATTTTGGTAAAAATTGAGGAAGCTGTCGCAGCTGCTCTCGTCATTGTCTCAATTCCATGGCGAAACGAGGAATTCGAACGGATGAAACATGTATGCATGTACATTGCAGGATAAAGGGCTGTGGTCTGATTCCCAACGTTGCTTTCTCAAGGAAAGTTCATGCGTAATACAAGAGATCACTTGTCCCTTATTATGTCACCGTGAGATATTCTAACGCCAGTCTACGTTAAATATTCAACTAGAGAAAGACGTAGTCGCGACGTTTTGTGGATACTTTCACTGTCAAGTACGCGTATAATCGAGTTACTTCGACGTAATTGCGAGACATGGTAATCACTTTCGCAATTAACATCTCGCGAGCGTTCTATCGGAATTTAAATTCATCATCGATGACACGCGTTTCTCGTCCTTTATTTCGTTCGATCACGCCCGTGGTATGATTTCAAACTGCAAGAACGATCTTCACGTGCGAAAAATGGGAAAATACCGAGAGGTACAGGTGTCACGACATCTACTTACATGTATTGTGTCTTGCTACGAGACTCGTTAACTGGTCGTTTTATTACAAAGCGGGATCAAGTAGGTTTATCTCATCCGCCTCGGATTTCTTCGTGGTTACTCGGAAAGTCGGAATTGTGCAACAAATTGAAATTACACGTACATTTTTAACCATCTCCACTCCAGTAACCTGGAATTTGTTATACGATTCTATATCCACCGACGAACGAGAATAAATAATTATGTAAATAAGTTTGCATGGAATTTTTAATTCTTTTTAAGAACCTTCTCACTGCGAAGGTGTATTCACACTTTCGGGTAACAGAATGACAAAGTTTGGAGACTTTAAAGCATCGCGACGTGAGAGATGAATGGATTAACCTTCTGCATTCGATGATTTTTTCGTTGCAGAAAAGTAGCTGTTAAAAATAGTGGCTAAGAGATGGTATACGACTTAACTCGTAGAATCATATCGATATTTCACGCATCGCTGTTTTAAATTCGATATACTAATTAATACGAGTCTTCGGAATTTTATTAAATGGCGACTGGAGGTCCCTTCCCGAGAGCAATTAAAATATCGAAGAAGATCTTTAGGTTATATTCAATTATGCATGCCGGTTTTAACGCACAGATGCACCAGAGTCTGTGGCTATCTGGATAAAATCAGTTCCACGAGAGTTACGTTGTATGAAAAGTACTGGATTACGGTAATATCTTGCCGGAATGGTAGGCATAACTTTGATTTCTCCTTGGACTTTGTCCAAATAACAGATAGTGGATGAGCTTGGTCGGGGTTAGTGAACACGCGATTGCGAAAGGAGTCACGAAAAGATTAACATGGTTCAAAAAGGACGAAGCAGAGGAAAGTGAGCGAGAAATCGCACACGCCTGTTAAGAGTGAAAAGGAAGATTCGAATAATAAAATTTCAGTTTCATTTCTTGAGTTGCGAAATCACGTTTGCACGCTATATTTGCTATGCATGTTTGTTCTTCGATAGATCTCGGCAGAACTATCAGTTATTAAACGCTTTAACGAGCTTTGTCTTTCGTTCGGAATACACGGAATGTTAGGTAAATCTGTGAATTTATTAAACATTACGAATAGTCGATATTTGCGAACGAGGTGCAGAAAGAATAGCGTCTGCTTTCAACTTTGATACCGTTATCCTTAGCGGTTCCTCCATTTTTTGCTTGTTAAATCCAAAAGTAAACCAAGTATAGAAATTAGCGATTCGAGCATATCGTTCGTGTTTCTTCGTTGCTTGCAAATCGAATTTCGTGTATTCATGACGGTTGGACGGAAGACGATTAAACTGGACAACGTTGAGAACGGTTTGAGAAATTTTCCTTTACACGTTGTGCTTTGGAAACGTGATATAGAAGGAGAAAAGTTAAGGTCAGTGAAAGGAAAGAAAAGTTCTGGTATAACGAGATGGAGGAAACGATACAGCGGCTGGGTCACAATTCCTAACTCTAATAGGTCTGTAAACTTGGCCTGAATATTTAGAGAGGGACAAGCATAGTTTCGTGCTATAGCTAAGAAATCGCGAGAGAAAAAAGTTCAATCGTGGAGAAACGAAAAAATAAACTTCGCCTTTGTCATTGGCGAAAAATTAGAAAATCCTCAAATTTTTTAGTCGACCAACTTTTAACAACAAGGTGGACTCGAACCTCGACAAGAGTACCTTTAGCATCGGCTAAAGCAAGATGCAAGCATCGAGAAAAATGTGAGTGAAAGTATGTGGAAATATCAGGTCAAATACGAAATTTGTGAAATTTCGTGCGTGGAAATATCAGCATCAACGTTGTAATTAATGCCGAAGATGAGCAAATTCCTTATTAACATAATTTAATGCAGAAATAAGTCACGCTTTCGAATACACGTGTGGCCCGATTAAAAGTGCGTTAGCATTCCGTGTTTTATAAATTTTATATCGACTGCATTGAAACAGAGGCGTTTAAATGCTTCTGCGATCGATAGTAGATTCGCCTGTCTGATGTGAAATGTTTTATCGTAGATACTGTGTAGGTCGAACAGAGAATACGGAAGCGAATGATATAGAATCATAACAGGATCTGTATACGGTATTTCGTAATTGCCTGTTTCAGGTGTAAGGGAGAAAGATGAGCGAATTAACCGAGATACCGTCCTTTTACAAAGGAAAGAACATTTTTGTAACCGGGGGAACCGGTTTGATGGGAAAAGTGCTCATTGAAAAGTTACTTTACAGCTGCAGCGATTTAAACAAAATTTATGTTCTAGTACGTCCGAAAAGAGGTCGTACTCCGGAAATACGTATCGACGAAATGTTCAAATTGCCCGTAAGTAATCCGGGTCCATTGAAACCGTGTCTACCCGATTTTGCGCGATTCATATTGGGTAATTCTGTAATTTAACTATTTTTTCTAATCTAAAAATACTGGAGTAATTGTCTAGAATTTGTATACTCGTCGATTTTAATGATACAATTAAACAGCCGGAAATGAGAAAGGTCTTTAAACTGCAGAATTACCTGTACGTATACGTTTCGTCTAATTACTTGATTATCGATTGTACGATGGCAATGAGGTAATGCGTTGCTTCGCGATTAAACGAGAGTGGAAATAATTCTGAACAGATGTTTCAAAGAGTACGGAAACAAAAACCACAGGTGTTGAAAAAAGTCGTTGCTTTAAATGGAGACGTGAGCGTGGAGAATTTAGGCCTGACTTCGCAGCAACTGGAAACGTTGATGAATGAAATCGACGTAGTATTTCATTTAGCTGCCACGCTTAGATTGGAATCCAAGTTGAAGGACGCTATCGAAATGAACACGGTAAATTTAATTAAACTACTCGATCGAAACTTTCTTTACCTTATTATTTCCTTTAATTTAATCAGTTTGATCGACCTTTCCCATCACCTCGCGACTCTCTTTAATCTTCTCCTCTGTCACTTCACACCTGTTAACACGATTGTTTAAGATTGGGACGAAAAGGGTGTTAGAATTGGCTAAGAATATGAAGAAACTGCAGGCATTTGTGTACTTGAGCACGGCTTTCTGTTACCCGGACAAAGAGGAACTCGATGAAAAAGTGTACGATGCACCCGTTGATCCTCATGACGTTATAAGACTGGTTCAGTGGCTAGACGAAGGTGCCATCGACCTCGTTACACCCAAGTAATTCATGCTTTGGAACATTGTTGCAACCAGTGTTACTGAAATAAGAGAAATTTTAACAATATCACTGAAGTTTGGCTCTCAACAACTTTCTACTATTCTAATCCATTTCTTCAAATTTGTTACTCTATAATCGCCATCTTTTTTTCTCTTTTTTTTTACTTAACGTTAAGAAATTGCAGATTCGGAAATAATTCACGACGTTGGAAAATTCTGCGAAGTCGAATAAAGTATTAAATAACGAATAATCGAATAATCCTTGCCGAAATATTAATTCGAGATTTGAACTATCGCGCTGCGTTATTAATTTATTAACCTGCGCGTTTACTTAAATATTAATTCGTATCGATTTCATCGAACACAGGTTATTGGGTCTCCATCCGAATACTTACACGTACTCGAAGAGATTGGCCGAGAAACTGGTAGCAGATGAATACCCAAATTTACCTTGCAGCATCGCTAGACCATCGATCGGTAAAAATAAATTTCAAGGAAAATTTCATTGTTAACGTATAAAAATCTCTTAATTCGTAATATATTCGTAATATACCGAGTCCATCGAGTACGTGTTTAAACAAACGTCGCATTATCGTGTGTACAGTGACTCCAGCCTTTGCAGAACCACTACCTGGATGGGTGGACAATCTAAATGGACCCGTGGGCCTTATGGTAGGTGCGGGGAAAGGCGTTATAAGGTCGATGCACTGTATTGGAAACTATCATGCCGAAGTAATACCCGTCGACCTAGCTATCAACGCTTTGATAGCAATTGCGTATAGGACAGTTATAATGAAAAAGTAAGGAATTACCATTCTTAACATTTTCGCTGCTAGCCATTTCGTTTCATTCAACCATCTTTCCCTGATTGTGAGATTAGTTGAAATTTTTGAATCTAGGGTCTCTTGGGTCATGTACTATTATAGACATCGATGAAAGTGATTTATCAAAGATCCTAAGTATATTCGTGACCTTCGACGAAGCTAGTCCAAGTCATACATGTTCTGTCCGAAGTATTAGAAATCTAGAAAGATTGGAAGAGTAACTTTGACAAAATGAGCGAGAAATCAATTTCTCCTTAATTTTTTACTTAAATTGTTTTCATAATTAATTTCATATTTTTTCTTTGACAGGAATGCAGCTGTGCCAGTGTACAATATTACGCAGAGTGGCGTGTTACCCATTACTTGGGGCGAAGTATTGGGAAAAGGCAAGAAGATCGCTTACCAGTATCCTTTTGAAGGACAGATTTGGTATCCCTCTGGTGACATACATAGCAGCAAATTCGTGCACAACATGATCGTCTTCTTTTTCCATATCATACCAGCTTACTTTATCGATTTTCTCATGTTGATATTCCGGCAGAAGAGATTGTGAGCTTCCCTTTTTCCTTTTCTGTCTCGTTAGCTGCGTGGTCCTGATTTTTATACCAGGCATCTTCTTTCAGTATGGTTCGTATCCAAAATCGCATTTCGGTAGGGCTCGAGGTCTTGCAGTACTTCACTACGAGGGAATGGGTGTTCCATAACACGAATTTGTTGATAATGTGGGGCGAAATGAATCCGAAAGATAAGGAGATTTTCCCAATTGATTTTCTCTGTATCGACGAAACCGAATACATGAAAACGTGCGTTTTGGGCGCCCGACAATATTGCATGAAAGAAAATTTGTCCACTTTGCCGAAAGCTCGAAGACACCAAGCGATGTACGTATTTAATAGCATAATATATATTTCAGCTTGAGAAAGTTTGGAGGTAATTTATCGTAGAAGCTAAAAAATATTTTCAATTTGGAGACTGTAATAATATAATTTTATTGAATTATATAAAAGTTGTATACAGAGAATTCTTTCTCTATTTGCACGAGTGTTGCATTCGACATAGTTAAGGAAATACTTACGCGAAGTTTTGTCTCCACGTGTGACTTATTTATCACGTTCTACTGATTATGTTGGCGAACGAAACTCTAATTAACTACGTGGTTGCAACTTTGTTTGTCGTATCAACTGTTCTCCGTATCGTTTGCTTGGATTATATTTGGAACTGGTTTTAAAAGATTATCATATCCGAACTTCCTGAAACATTACTATAACGTAAAATAGCAATTAAAGTATAATAAAATGTGCGTTTCTCCTTATGTAACTCGCGTATTATATTTTTGCAGAATGTACGTCGTTCACTTAATCGCTGTCTACCTATTTTACTTCGGGGTGCTCTACTTGATTTTGAAAAACTTTGAGATTGCGAGACATGGTCTGGATTATGTTACGGATCAAATGAAATCTCTGCCAATTTTGAGCAGATTTATTAAAAAAACACGTTAACAATAACCTAACCTGCGAGGAAGATTTTATACTTTTATACTAACAGTCTTCAGTGTCCTCTCTACTGAAGTATAGTTTGTTGTATTTAAAAATTATGTCATGTTATATTTAGATTAACAAAATCGAATAAGCTTCATTAAGAATTTTTTTTGGTTAAGTTAGTTTATTAGTTTATTAGTTTATTAGTTACAGGTTATACTGTAATGCTCATAATCGTTTATGCAAATGATTTTTTTACCTAATCATGTTAATTATAATATATTGCCGTAATAGTGAAACATTTTTATTAATGATTCGATGGGATCAAATTGAATTTGTAAACACGATAGGCTTGGATATTTGTTAAGATTTATTTTATATCTTAGTAACCATTAGAGTATGTATATGTAAGTAGAGGAAGCATCACCAATGAATAGAATTGTATAATTGCATCGTACGTTCATGAAAAAATCGATTTTAATACGCTATATATCTTGAGAATATCAAAGGTTTAGGTTAAGAATTGATTTATATATGATAAATAAAATGTTTTATCTTATGGTGTATTTATATTTTATTCAATAATAAACTTAAATTAGGGAAAAAATGAATTCAGACAGCAGTGGTTGATGTTATGAGCACGCAGAGGTTAATTAAGAGAAGTTTCACGAGAACGTGCGTTTTCCAACACGTTTTTATGACTGCCCTCTTCTTCGCACATTCGTTCCATTGTTCGTCCTTTTTGCACGCGACCTTATCATAAATCCTAAAGATTCTCACATTTACGATAAATAAAATATCTCTCGCGAAAATCTTGCTCTTTTAGCTAACGTGAATCAATCACGAATTTTTTTTTCGTTTTTTTTTTTAAAAAAAAAGTTATCTCGAGTTAAATTGAATAATAAAGTAAAAATCGAGTAATCAGTTGCGTGGTTAACGATGTGCTTGGGTCAAGTTAGTGCGTTAATTATTATACACGGTATACGAAAGATTTAATTAAAGTTCGAGAAACGATGTGTATGCACCTTTACTATACAATCCGAGTTAGTAGTGGCATATGAAGTATGCTACAGTCATTAGTACCAAATTTCATAATAGAGTGGCGCTGGGAAATTTCAAGCCTCATTCTAATTCCATTATTGATTTATCCTTATCTCAAGAACCATTGTTTTTGAGTACCTTTGCAAGAATATTTGTTTCCTTTTCGCACGATATTCCGTACGTATCTTCTTTGCTGTATAATACGTATAATATTTTCAATTACTTTTCCTCATACCATCGTTGTAATTACACTCCTTAATGAATTTTTGACTAATCCTCTTTTCTTTCGCAGTACATGATTTTTAACGCGTCATATCTAATCAAAGTTAACACGTATAACCGGTTTAGCAACAGGTGTCGCGAACGCAATTGTTAACTAACGTTCCGAAATTAAGGTTAGATTCCATTCTTATTCTTTGCATTTCCGTGACATTAGAGAACCGAGAGGTCGCTAAAGTTCGCTAATAATACAAATACGTGATGTTTATTCGATATGTGAGAAAATTGTGCACGATTAACACTTTCTGCCTTCCAACCCCGCGAAAGTTATTATTTTCGTATGTACGTGAAGTTTAAAACGTCTCGCGCGTATTATGATAAATCCTCGACCAGAGTGCGTGGTGAATGTTAATTAAGTAAGCGTACGCCACTTCTTCGAGCAGCGTGAACGATACACGTACGTATATAACACTGGCCGGATACGTATAAGTGAAAATAAAGTGTGCGTATAATCTTTGATCACAGGTACCTGTATCGAGCATGTGCAAGAGCCGGGAAATGGCGGTAAATGGAGGTAAATGGAAAGGTTGGTCGATGAAAGGTCCGTTCCGATTCTCACGTATGCTGACTATTTGGACAATTTGCTAGTTTCGCGAGGAAGTTCTGGCGGACGAAAGGGACGTGGGATACGTCACAGATTACGCGGCAACCGAATGCCATGGAACGGGGGGGTGTACGGAGAGTGAAGCGGTGGATAGCTGCGCCGATGACGCGTGACAAGGTGTGTATGTGTGTGCAGCAGAGAAGCAAGTGGCGCGTGCGCTGATTGTCCAGGATGGCAGAACGGGTAGGTCGGGTAGGACGGACAGGACTCGGGGGCTGTTCGAGGCGCGAACACCAGCTAGTCTGAATTTGTCTGCCGTTCGATTCGGCTACGCGTTCGTTCGTCAAACGTGACACCGGTGTGAAAATAGCCGTTAACCGGAAATATTTCGCGTTCGCGATCTATCCGTACCTAAGCACGAGTTCTTTCGCGCTTTTACATCGAATAAACTCGAGAGTCGTTCGTTCGATTCGTTTCGATTACAACTGACCCTGCCTCGCCGTATCGTTCGTTTTGCCTTCGCGTAACTGGAGATGATCGAAGGAACGGGATATACGATGTAACGCGTTTGCTCGGTTCTTCTGATACGCCCGACCTTAGTAAATACGAAATTCATACCGCGAGTCGAATTCGCGAAACGGTCAATATAGAATGGCGCTCGTTCTTATGGTGAAGAATATTGAAGGACTAAAATGCAAAGGGAACAAGGTCAATGTCAAGGTCAGCTTCCGGAGTAAGTTTCGAATCGTGCTCTTCGACGATCGACGTATTCGTCTTCTTTTGCAATATTTATAAATTTTCCGTTTACTGTAGCGTGTCAAGGGCTTGTTCTGCATGGCGTACGAGACGTTAAGTTTCTCGAAAAATATTCAGAGTTAATCGAACTTTGAATGGGTACTCGTGCGAAAAACATGGACGGGGATCAACGACGTCGACTTGTCGTTGATGATCGATCATAATTTCGTGACGTCGTGTATTACTTTCTCGCAAAACGCGTAGAATAACTGACATTCGATTTAATTTACCATTCCGTATGAGACGCACGGAGCAGTGTATATAGATATACACGTATGGAGAAATATTCGAGGCATTTATTTAATCGGAGTCTGTGACCTCAGCTTGCGGGACTCGAATGCTTCGTCGTAATTAGAATTTACGTCTTTCATGAACGTACATTTCTCTGATCGATCCAAATTCGAGTTCTCAATTTTAGCCTACTCGTTCCAGATTATAAAACGCGATATACACGAAGGGTGCGCGGTAGCTGATTTTTAATTCCATTTGCGGAAACGGGAAAAATAAATTTCGCGCAGAAGAAATGTCGTGTTTTATTTTCACGCGTTATTTACGTAAATATAAATGTAACGGTAAATAAATCGAGATTAACTAGAGCAGGAGTGTGTAATAAATTCTCTTAGAAATAACGACGCGTCTTGGGGCGTTGAAAGTTTGAATCAATCGCGGGATCGATATATGTGGAAAACGCGATTCGTTTGCGTGCAGGATAACGAGCTTGATCGCGATCTCTTCCAGAGAAGGAGAATTTGATTCTGGTAATTCATTAAGAAATTGTCCGCGTCGCTTCTCGATTTCCAGACCTAACCCCGTGTTTTCCTGGGGCTATCGTAAGGTTAATCGTTGCTATCGATCAAAATTAGTTCTCCTATAAATATTTTTATCTAGAGCAGCTACGGCACGCAGATTTATCGCGCTTGATCGACACGTGGTTTTCGCGATATTAATCCCCGGTGGAATTATATCTCGATTTTAATCGAGGAATAATTTTTCTTCCCCTTCATAAAACGCGCTGTGTTTTTTATTCCGTGCGCGTTATTCTCCTTATAAACACCCGCATGTTATTTAGAACAAACTGATTATTTTGCCATCGATTGATTTTTCCTTCGTGCAACGAATCTCGTATGCAACAGATGACAGAAACTGCTAGAGCTTCCATTTCCGAAATTATCGAAAGCGTATCATCCTCGATCGAATGGAGGAAATTCGATTCTTGAAATGAGATAGAAGCCTAATTGATATCTTCGCCGCTGTTTTTAATATTATCTACGCGAACTATATTTAGTCGCGTTTAATCGATGCTCCACTATATTCTTCGCAATTTATAATAATTATCCTCGTCGTACTGGTATTTGTGTCGTTTAGTATTTGTGTACGTCGTTGATATGACTGGAGCGTCGTTTACATCTGGTTTGCCTAACCGCAGATCATTACGCAGCACTGTTAACATTGCAGTGTGATATCGACGGAATTAACTAAAATAGCCGATTATTCGAATAGCCGGGTACGCGCAGATCTTATCTGCGGCCCCATTTTGAATAATTATTTCCAACCAACGGGAACTGCTCTCGAGGAAATGTGATATAAATGACCTTAAGAAAGCAGATTACACTTTTCTTCTACTCGCTTCCTCAACGGCAGCTGTGAGACTTTAATCAGTACATGGCAGTAGCGAGAAATGAAATTGCATGTTTAGGTAGGTACTCGCTGGATCGAGAGGCCACGAGTAATAACGATCGATACATTCGTGTCCTTTTTCAAACATTTTCACGTATCGTGGTATATCGTTAAAATTTGGATACCGGGGAAAAAAATGTAAAAAAACTAGCGTTTTCGTTTGACCTTTTTTTACTCGGTTCCAGGCAGCTGTTTTTCGCGTGTGATGCATGGAAACGCGTATGCAGAAGATATAATTGGAGGAATTAATTTACACTCGAATTGCACGGGGTGGAATTCTGCCATCTCTCGTAGGGGCACTTTGGAACGGGACCGATTGGTATTCTGCGGATCGTGAAATCCTTTTCACGAACCATCTGCCTCTGAACGATACCACGTCCAAGGAGATACAGGATACAACTCTTGGAATTTTCCACAAAATTCGACCAACATCTCTTAAATTATTCGCGCATTTCACGTTCCAAAAAATGGCATTATCCATTTTACATGCGAAGAAAATTCCATTATAGAATGTTTCAAAGGAGTCTGCTAAAAATGATCTTTAAGTGACTGGAAAATATATCAGAGATCCTAATATTATCGTCACGTGTACGTGTACCTAAGATGTACGTATCATTTCATTTTTCTCCTAAGAAGTGAAAGATAGTCTGGAAGTAGTATCTTCCGGCAAGCGATATTTTTGGACCTAGTGTGCTTTCGGAGGGGAAGGAATGTCCGTGTGTAAAAATATAGGGAAAAGCGTACGTTTGTTTAGCGATGGATATGGAAATGTTAATAAACCTTTAGGCGAAGGTGAGGTCAGCGGAGTGTAGACGCGCGATTTGCAATATTTATCGGAGCGTGAGGATCCAGGGGGTACGAGTGCAAAGGTTAGCGTTAGGTTAAACGAAGCAGCGAGTAGTCGGCTTGGTCGGTCATCTCGCGGGATCGTGCTTGGACGTAAAGGGAAATTCAAAGGCAAGACAAAGTAACGACGAATTGTTAACCGGGGGTTAACTCGGCTTCTGCAGATTAAACTTTCGTTTAATCATGCTTGCCCCAGTTCACGGACGATCTTCAGCTCGCGTGATACAAAGTTCCGCCTCAAGATTTTATACTCGACCTCTTTAAATGCTCGGACATTATTCAGACTTACATGATTAATATATACCGGTACAATCTCGACGCGAATGGCAAAAACAGTTTCGCCTCTTTTTTCCTTTCATTATGATCGGTTATCGTTCCAACTTCTTCTACAGCCGACTCTGCTTGACCCATTTAATTCCCGTGCTAGGTTATCTAAAATTGAGTCTACGTATAATCATTGTATACCGTGTTTATCTTTTCACAGGCAACTTTCCACGTTATTCGACGCCCGCGTAGTAGAGCAAGGACATCCGTATGCATCCTCCAAAGATTCCTCCTTTTCCCGTCTATCTAAAGCCAATGATGATAATCCCTTGGCTGAAGGAGACGTGGCAAGTTAGGACGCAACGTTACTACAATTTTGCTACGTTTTATCTCGGTCATAGGTCAAGCGGATGTTACGTCTTTTCTTTTATTACGCTAAACAAAGGACGTAGGCAGCTTCTGTTTTTCTTCCTTGCAAAATGTTTTACGATAGAGAGTAAAGTGTAAATTTCCAAGGCACTATGAACCCTCGCACGACCGTCGACTTTGGTGTGAGCAACATTTTACAGAAATTAATGTCGTGCTTGGGGTCAGAGTTTGCGTGCACCCCTTAGACAAAGCTATTTCTCGCGAAAGAAGCTATGCGTAAGAAATTTTGCCTGCGGTGCGTGCCGCTTTAAATAAAACTCGTTGAAGTAGTAAACAGTATAACGAGGAACGAAAATAACGAGAAGTCTAGTCGATACGACTCGTAGTCTCTTTCAACGGTAAGCCAGAGACAATCGATCGTATAGTAGTGAATGAAAGATGAAGGAAAGAGAAGAACCTTAGGAAAATGGAAAAAGATTTCGAAACGCTGGATCGTGTCCATATCAGAAGAGAATCGCGAAGGAATGTGATCGAAGAGATTGCGTTGAATAAAGAATTTTTAGTCGAGAGTTTTAAAACAGCCATTTTGCCCGTGATAGGTTTAGTGTTCAATCAGACTTTCGGAACTTTGGAAAATGTTGCAACTTCCAGGACTTGCACGCAACGCTCGTAAATGCGATAAACGAAAGTTGCACTTTTCCATCAGCCGATGCTATAACAGTTGAAAATAATTTCCATGAAATACAACAGTTCTTCTACGAAACTAGTCCTATACTTGCGGCGGAAAAGCGTTGTTAAATATGGTGTCATGGTTTATGCATTTATAAAACCTGTTATGGATGTTGAGATGACATTTATGCGATAGTATACTGTTAATTTTCGATGATAATCCATTACGCTTCATCGTTGGTGATTAAAAATTTAATGAATGTCCGTGGTTTAGACACGGATCCTTAAATATGAGTGTATATCGTGCCATGTATCGGGTACACAGGTTAGAAATAATTAGATTTCGCGATGGTTATTAGAAAATATCCCCTTTAAATCTTTGTTTTACCGGTTTTTCAGTTAGCCATGCAAAAAGATTCGACGTAGAGAGAGAAAGCTTGAATTCGTGTCTGAAGCTGAGGTACAAAAGCTTTCTATATCTAGCCTCCGGGGATTCTAAAATACCTTTACGTCACATTGTGATGCTTTTTTCGAGTTTACCTACCCCTTTCTCTCTTTACCGTACAGTTGCTTATATCCGAGGAAACAAATTGACAAGCGTGTTCCGGAAATTTTTGCCCGAAACAAAATTCCCTCGGGATGATTGGGAAAATCATCGTGCGGTTAGGTCAGCGATAAATCTCGTTTCGGACTCGCTCTTTACCCCCGATGTAAACATGTTTGTAAATTATTTTTCACGCTGCTTCTACCTTCAATGATAACTTAAAAATAATATTTTCGTTACAGGTGCCTCTCATTACTCAAAAAACGTCGAAGAAAGCGGAGGCTTTCTTACGATAAACGAGGTAACGTAGAAAATAAGTGTCGTACATTTCTTCTAGTCCGTAAGTTCTACGAATAAAAATTTGTCCTTGTCAGGCACATTTATGTTGCAGAAACGTGAAGAATATGGCGATCTATAACTTACCAAACGGTCCTCAAATATCTCTACCGTGGAAAATTAATTTACTGGAAATTCTCTCTAAAATTCTACATTTTCCACGGCGTATTTGAATCGTATCGTTTCGATTGAAAATTTTTCCGTGATTTACTCGCTGGTTTTGGTGTTACCGGTACGATATTAGTAACATGTACTTCGTCAACATCCGTAATGAACGGGCTTCTTCGACAGTTTGCGTTCCTTTGAAATAAACGTGCATTAAACTGCGGCCCTCGTTAAAGTCGAATGCAGTGATAGCTCTGACATGAATGAATCGCGAAACTAGAAGAAATCACACTTGCGAAACATTCCTTCCTGTTTTCCACGTAAGTCCTGCCTTCTCGTGCGGTGTTAGGTTAGGTTATTTTAATTAAGAAATATGTTACGTTGCAAGTAACTTTGAACGTATTTATCAACTAGCAGTTTTGCGTCCTCTTCTCTCTGGGATGTCGCTTGAATGGAAAAGTTGCTGGAACTGTTTTGCAGAATTTTAACAATTTTCGAACGATCACACGAAATTACAGTACGTTTTCGCACTTTCAGTTTTGCGATGGTGCAAAAGCTAGTTAGGTTCGCACGAGCTAAACGAGCACGTTCAACTCGTACATGCGGATGGTATGTCTTGTATATCAAGTACTTATCGCGGCCTAGTTTTTTGCTCGATTAAAGCGAACTTTGGGAAAACGCATTTGTAATTCACCGCTTTTTACCCCGACGGGACATTTTTATTACTCTAATTTACTGCAAGCGTAATTTGCTTGGTCTCAGGGAGAAGAACGGAAGTCGTGTCCATGCGAAACGTGTCGAATATTGAAGGCATGTGACGTAATTCGTGAAAAAATATATTTCCCCGTTTTCGGTAATTAACGATGCAATTGCGCGCGGTGGGTACTTGAAAATGCAGAGTTTAGATTAAAAGTGAAAAAACAAAATTGCGTTATTTACGAAGTTCATACGTTACATAGGTCAGGGATATCGATTGGCTAACGTTGCGTTATTTCTTGCTCTCTTGTTTTATTAATTTTTATTCCTATAAAAAAATTGCAACCGCCAAGTACGAAAGAAGAAGCGTTAAGCGACTTTGAAACTGAATCACTCTGAAAATATAAATAATGTTGACATTTAAATGTCAAGAGATAACCGGACTCGAAACATCGAGAGATCGGTTAGCGAAAATTAATATTTGCCTGACGACTATGTATCGAAATACCAAAAACATTCTTTCCTCCTTTGCATTTAAATCGACATTCGTATTTTGTTCGATGGCCGAAGAAAAAATACACACGTATTCGAGACCCATCAACGAGCATGGAAATATGCAAAGATATTCCATTCTCGCGTAAGTGTACAGATGTACACAAGGTATGATAGATCGCCTGACATATCATGATACGCGAGTGTAATATTTTAGAAACCCTGGATAAGAACCAGGGAAAGCATAAGACAAACGGGGTAAAATATCAGTTTAGACAAGCTTTGCTACACCGATTGCTGCGAGAATCGATGGAAAGAATGGATCAAAGAAACAGGACGATATCGTAGATAGCCTCGACGTTGCGTTAATCGAATGAAAGTCGGATTTGAAACGTTGACACGAGCTCGAGAGTGTTTCAACTTCACCAGGGATCAACGCGAGCAGTCTCAATCGGGTTTGAAAGCTATTTCATGCGATCCAGCAGGATGACGTAAAAGCGGTAATCCATTATATCGCCTCGGTATCGGGTTAACTTCGCCAAATACGTGTCGATAATGCATTCGACTTTCCGATTATTCATTCTCTAATCTATCCACGAACGATCAACGTTTGCCACGTTTAGAGCCCGAATTATGCGTATCGAAACTGATCCATTTGTCGCGTCGATTCAGAATTACTCGCCGCGTTCCAAAGCTGAAAGGCTGTTAAATCAAAATGGCGACCGACGAAAGCTGTTAACAAACCGGTACTTTCATTTTTTCCAGAGCTTCACGTGGAACTTGGGGAAACCTGTGGATGAACTGGAAACGATACAATTCTTGGTGCTATCGTGCGGAATTTTTAGAAACGAGGTGGTCGCGAGGTATGGCTTGAGTTTGAAGGGAGTAGTAGAAGAAGGTCGAATCGTTGTCGAAGATTCCTTGGTAGACCTCAATAACAAACCGCTTCCGGTACGTTGAAACACACATTTCCACTCGCGATAGCAGTTTCCGCGTTCAATTCCGTATCGAGCTGCACGCTTGAATTATTCCATTCTCCGCGCGGAAATCGATCAAACGAACGATCGACGTTACTCTTGACAGTTTGACGAACGATCTACACCGGGGTAAAGATAAACGGTAATAAGTGGTATATATCCGTGGTATTTTCTCTTAATCTCCAACCTTTTTTCGCGTCATCGACGTGCATGGCCGCAGTGACGGATTTGGTCTTGCAGAGAACGAAGCGACAAATTTTTCGTGCCCTATTAACCCTGCAACTGCCAAACCGGTGAATGTCTTTGCTTTTGGATATCTTGTTTCCGCAATCCTTAACTAGATCTATAATTTAAGCTGTGTCGAGCTAGCGTTAAAATAAACGAATATTTCTTCCGTCACGCAAGACCCTAGCTTTGACCTTTGGCGTTTCGACTGCGACTTTTACAGGGATTTACAAAATAATCCTCGAAATTAATTTTTCTTCCATTTTTTTCAATCGCGCTGCAAGTTCATCTGTCTCATTGGACCCGATACGTGCATCTGTGTAAATCCGTCACTGCATAAACCCGTGGTTCGCAATTTTAATTATTCTCCGCAGAATCGAAATAAAGCATTAATTCAACGTCACGTAGACACACACACATACACACCGTGTAACAAATTTATCTTTCTCTTCTTTTCATTTCCCCGCTATTATGATTTTCTCGATATCGAAACGTTTGAAACGTTACAGGCATAAATGAAATGAACGTTAAGCTTCTAACAATATTCGATGGGCGTAGCCACAATATGGCAAAATACATTTGACATGCGTAGGCCATCCTCTGCTTCGACATTCGATACTACCCTCCTGGCGGAAGTTGCAGCTCGTACGCAGAGTCGGAAATAATGGAGGATGAACAACAGATGCTGATCGACATCAAGGAAAGTATCGCGAACTTCGAGAGGCACCTGGAGCAAGCCAGCATCGGCGCTGAGGCTGGTAAGAGGAAGGGCTCTTGGCACAGCGCTTGTTTCCTTTATTCCGTTCTTCTGGAAGAAATTAACAAGTTCAAATGGAAACCATCAGACCGGGAGAAGATATTGCTTCTTCCTTTTATGTTTCTAGGAGTAACGGAACGTTATGTATAGACCGTCGTGTAGCGTGACAAGGATCAGTTATACAGTATGTATTTACATAAACCGTGTCATTGTAGTTTCCCGTTTGCTTTAAATGCAGTCGTAGGCTCGCTTCACAACCATCCTTCGCTGGGAAAGTCCTTTCATCCAGCGAAACGTTATTTTAGAAATTCGTTATCGTCTTGTTAATAAGTTTGCGACTATTATCCCGCTGTTTGGCCAGATTGTACAACGCGTTTCTACGTCTCGATGAAGGGAATCATTAATCTTTTATGGATCATAGGAAAATCGTTTCATCGGTATCCCAGTTTTAAAATGGAAGTATCTTTTTATGATTTTATACGAGGTGTGCGAGTGTTAGTGACTCGGTAAAATACGTTTCATCGTGGATCTTATCTCCCATAGAAATGGGGCGTTACAAACACTATGACGGCAATTTATGAGATTTTGCAAGCACTTGTTGCAACGTCGCGTCGTGTTGCGGAGCTTCCCGTCGGTCGGATCTCGTTAGGATCGAGATCACGAGGACCACTTGAAAACCAGCTTCCATTTCTCAAAATTCTTTATTTCCCAACGATATCGATCGTCTCTCGATGAAAGTACGAATTAGAAATTGTACGATATCGTCTCAAATACAGTCCAAAGTTTAAGCAACTATTATTATAACGTAGTCGACGTGTAATTAGGTTAAAATATTTATACTCTTTAGTTGCAGTTGAAAGTAGACTCTGGTAGATAGAGTAAACGGTGGAAAGGAGTATAAGCGAAGAAAAGAAATCCGTTCTTTGCAGCAGGAGTTCGACATTGAAAAGCATGAGGTCCTTTATGAAGCTGGGCAAGCAGAGACCACCCAGAGCTCGATCCTGCGACAGCGGCTCAGACACCAGCGAATTACTCGATAGAAGGGACTCGAGTTGCGCAACATCCAACGAACCTTCTAGAACGAACTCGATGACTTCGTTGGAGACGAACGTCTCCGATTACGAGAGCCAAGGAGGAGCAAACACGGCGGAGTCTCAGGATGCTATTGTAAAGCCAACGAAGAAATCGAAGCCAAAGGTTCGCTCGATCTTTCGAATAATTAAATCTGCGAGAAATCGAAAGAAAGATTAACCTTCTCTCGCGACTATTAATCCACGATTCGCGGTTTCCTTTCCATTACGTACACCGGATGGAACAGGCATCGTGTTTGCGCGAATGCAACGAGACCGCGTAGAAAGCTCGTTAATTTATTCCGCGTCAGTGTACCTCGAGTACCAAAATTGTAAATAAAACGAGGAGCATTGGAGAGATTGGCATCGTAGGATATGACATTAAGGGAGAGAAAACGAGTAAATGGAACGATAAATTACGTAACGTCTTTTGCATAAGAATTCGCTGACCTGACTCCTTCTTGGAGGATCGATGGTTTATTTCGAGTCGGAGACGACGTAGCCTGTGGGAACATTTTTACGAGATGCTCGTTTCTGTCCCGTTTCCGTAGACCATCGACACGGGACAAGCCGCGTTGAAGGCGCAAGATTATCAAGTTTGCATCACGATCATCGAGGCGAGGCAGCTGGCTGGTTTGAACATGGACCCGGTCGTTTGCGTGCAAGTGGGAGATCAACGAAAATATACCAGCGTGAAAGAATCTACGAACTGCCCCTATTACAACGAGGTACAATCTTTTTCTCCTTTCTTTCAGAATTTTTCGAGGAACCAAACGAGGTCGGTTCTAGAGAAAGTTAGGGGAATTATGGGAGAAGTTGTTGAACGAGAGTGAAAGGGTGTAAAAGAGAAACATGAATAACGAATTTAATCTTATCTTTCCATTACGGGCTGCTTCGTGCTAATTATTAAATCAATAAACCTCACTGGATCGGAACATACGTATATTTCGTTTATTTGCGTCACAAACCTCGCTGTCAGTTTTCTTTATTCTTACGTCTCGCTACTTTTTTACCATTTTAATTGGTAGTTTTGTTCATTTTTCGTTTTCTTTTCTTTCTTCAACGTCGAAACGTCCACTTTCTCTAGTTTCACCTTCCGTTTCCTCGTGCGGTCGACTATTCGTGTGAAACGAAGTCACGATTCCGCGTTGGTGTTTCGATTAAATAATCTTTCTCGTGTCGTTCTGTTTTTCAGTACTTCGTCTTCGATTTTCACATGCCACCCGTAATGCTGTTCGATAAAATTATCACGCTGTCGGTAAGTCGCTTGTTGAATTTCCCTTTTTAATCTCACGCACCCGTGAGATCGCTGTTTATAGAAGTTAGGAAGTTATTTGCTTCGTTAGGCAGTTAGAACTATTAATTGGCCTTCGCCGATAATCGTTAATGAACACGGCAACGCGCAAGCAATGAATCGCTGATGGCGCTTGTCTTTTGAATAAAACGTTTTCGGCAATAATCAGATGTAACATGGTGAAAAGACATTCGAAACAGAGGGATAAAATTTCCCATTAAGGCGACACGTAGGTACGAAAAAATCTCGATTTTGTTTAAAATTCTCTAAATTTGATGTAGCATCGTTTCACGTGTCAACATCTTGTCGACGGAAGTCAAATCGAATATTGTCAGTTGCGAATGGCAGCAATGAAATTCTTATCGAGGCCAAATTATTTATTTAATTATTTAATTTTACAACAGCCTGCCGACAACGTTGTATTTAAACGACCAATTACTTTCATTTCTCATCCGATCGGGAAGCCAAGGAAACGATTTACGATGCATGGTATAAAGAGAAATTGGTTGCTGCTGACTATCCAGAGGCCGCTATCGGAATTTAAAGAAAAGCGACATTTAATGTGTCCCGTACAGAGTCGTAAAGCAGTCCACACGGTACCAGAGCTCTTTTAGATGGAAATTTATATTTCGATTCGTTTGTACCGGCAGGAAAATAAATAAAATATATAAATGGATTCGGAAATGTCATGCGAAATGAAATTTTCATTTGATAAAAACGTGGATAGCTATTTCGTATTAAGGAGAAATAAGAGAAATACGTGCACTGCTGGTTCATACAAACGCGAGGAAAGGTTTACCTCGCAAACGTGAGAGCAACTTTACGCGGTGAACGATAATCGAGAAGATAAGGAATTAAGACTACTTGAAGTGAATACCTTCTATTGATACGCAGGTGCAGCAATCGCGGCATCTCTTACGCGCTAATCTAACGCTGGGCATCTTTAAGTTAGACATCGCGACTGTTTGGGCACAACCAGGTACATTTTTCCAGTCCCTCGAAAGGGAGTCTAAAGGTTTACACTCAATCATTACCGACCGTCTCTCATTCCTTCTCGAGAGGGCGCCGACGAGGAACAATTTTGATCGTCGTTCCATCGCAATGACAAAGATTTTTTAGTCCCATTGTATTTTCCAGTTAAACGTGTTCAATTAGATTACAAGTTTATCGTTGATTTCGTAGTCTTATCGGAAACTAGCGAATTTAATATCTCGACTGAAAACGAAACGAAATTAATTACATTTTGTCATGCTGCATGTTTTCTACGTATATACGTGTACATACACATCGGCAATCTCGTTTGTTACATGTAACACAGTGAACGTATCGTGAACGAATTTCATCGGTTCGAAAAAGTGAATTTTTCGAGAAAGCATTTTGTTAATTCATTTGGCGAATATTAACCCTCGGTCAGCGGACTTCCGGTTCACTTGCACCCTGATAAGAGAATCGTATTTTATGCATTATTTGCAGTAATAAAGAGTACAACGTAGTCCGTTCTGCGAGGGTTGATTAAGAAGCAAGGTAAAATTGGTAGAATCGAAACGAGATCGAGCCACTTTTCCACGCGTCACTTCATTTTCATCGTACATTCATATACTTGCAACTCCTGTCTTGTATAAATTTTTCAACACTGCTTGTTATCTTTAAGTCATGCCGCTTCTGTAACATATCTAGAATATTTATGTCGCACATAACGTCTCACGTATCGTAAGAGAACACGTACAACTCGCTTTTTTAATGTAACATAGTTACTTTATTGTGTGGAAATGTAGCAGAGAAAATTCGAATAGCGAGCGCACATATAGATAGAAATAGCATGTTGGAAATCGTTATGTAAGTACCTATATCCGTTAATGGAACATAGTTATTCGCCTCGTTGCACAAATAACAATACCCTTGACGATACCTCGAGATTTAATTATATATTCCGAACGACGTCCGAATAATATTGACATTCCTCTCACGTTGCTCTATACTTCGATCAATCGTGCCATCGATATAGGGCCAGTGGTAATATTCATGGAATTTTTATAGCGTGTCACGTTTTCTCGGCGAGTTGACGTTTTTAAATGTTACAGAGACACGTGTTTAAAGCGAATGACTGTCGAAACGCATTAGCGATCGTTAAAGTTTTGCTCAAATTTTCCGCCGATCAAAATCGATGATTTCAGTCTTTCGATTGCGAGATTGCAAGAACTCCCTATGTTTCTTCGATGAAAATGGGAATCAACGATCGCCGATGTGTCAAGTTGCATCCCCTTTCATTTATTCACGAATCACGTATTCTAATGATGTCTATGATCGTTTGTGAAACGTTGTTTAAGTGTTCGGATACGTTTCCAGAAATCTCACTCTCAATGTCGATCCAAGTAACACGCGTTTGCTCTGTAGATCACCAATTTTACCATAAATGGGCTCTGTTGACGGATCCGGACGACGTGGTTGGAGGTCCAAAGGGTTACTTAAAGTGCGACATAAGCGTGATCGGGAAAGGAGACACGGTGAAGATTCCTCCGAAGAGCGAGAAGGACGAGGACGACATCGAGGGTAATCTACTTCTTCCGGATGGTGTGCCTATCGAGAGACAAAGAGCAAAGTTTATAGTAAAGGTGTACAGAGCGGACGGATTGCCAAAGATGAACAGCAGCATCATGGCGAATGTGAAGAAGGCGTTCACCGGTGAAGTCAAGGATCTCGTCGATCCATACGTTCAAGTGTCTTTCGCCGGACTGACCGTAAGATCAATTAAATTTATCAGAGGCTATCGATCGCACTGCCAGTCGCTGGAATTGATAGTAGATAGCTTAAGAAAGCTACCATAGCTTCGCTGAAATAAATTTTCTACGCGATTCAGGGCAAGACGAGCGTTAAGAGACACAGTTACGCGCCAGTTTGGAACGAACAGATCGTTTTCACGGAAATGTTTCCACCCCTCTGTCAAAGGATTAAAATTCAGCTTTGCGACGATGACCCGGTTCACGCGACCGTGATTGGCACGCATTTCGTCGATTTGAAGCAGATCAGCAACGACGGCGAGAAGGGCTTTCTACCGACCTTTGGCCCGGCTTTCATACATTTCTACGGAAGCATCCGGGATTATAGTATCATTGACGAACACTCCACGTTGAACGCTGGATTAGGAGAGGGAATCTCCTATAGGGCAAGGTTATCACCTTACTTCATTTTTCCTTCATTTCTTTCCATAGAACACCTTGAAAATCTTGAGCTGTCGGACGAAACGAGATTAATCCTTTTATTCCCGTGATCCAGGTTATTAATAGGCATTAGAACAGAAATAAGCGACAACGTGGACATGGCTCCCTCGGAGGTCGAGGTCGAACCCACGATACCAGTCAACGAATCCGCTTATGCGAGAAACGAAGAATTCTTCCTTTTCGCGACCATAATGGATGCCACGATGATAGACAAGAAATTAGGTGACAAACCGATGTACTTCGAATTATCGATAGGAAACGCGGGGAACGCTTTGGATGGTCACAACGAGAGCTCCAAGGTAAGGTCCGTTTCTGCACACCGTGTCGCTCATCGAGCAGTACAGGGTACTTGCTTGATGAATGGAAAATTCTTAAAGACGTGTCGATTAAATACCCAAGATGATAATACGTAATGCTCGAATCGATCATTGTCAGATGTGCGATATGGGACCAAAAAGTGGCACGAGTGGCGACCAAGAGGAGCTCCAGGAAGTCTTGAGTGGATCTTGGCAAAGCACTACACCAGCCTGTAAACCGATGACACACGATAAAATCTATTACTTTTTACCGTACTGGGATGACAAACCTTGCCTTCACGTTAGAAGCATCTGGCCCGATTATAGGCGTAGAATGTACAATAGCAATATAATTAGCAAAATATCAGATAAATTGGTAAGTCGAGAATTATGAGAAAGAGGTTGAATGTCTGTTAGGGTTCATGGTTGTGTAGCTCACATTAAATGACAGGAAGAAGGACTGTTGGAGGCTCAGTCACACTCGGATGATTGTTCCGGCGAGAAAATTTTGAAATCCGCGTTAGAAGAGTTGAGCAGTAACTGTAATAGGTATGTCAGTATCAGCAAATCGAGTACCACCGGGCCGGGAGTTGGAAAAACGAAACTTGACAAGGAGAGAACGAAGCTGTGTCAAAGAGAATTGGAAAATATAGGAGTGATGTCGCGGAATCTTAAAGCGGTGGTTACCAAGAGCAGTTTTAAGGAAAGATTAAAGACGGCTCAAGGTTACTTGCAGAAATTAAAGTTTCTCGTCGAAGATGTAAGTACTGTCAAAGATCTTTCACGAACTTCAACCTATGCTGATACCTTTATCGTCAAAAGCAAAAATGTCGGTTCTAGCCTCAAGATTCTCTACCGGATGTTTTTATTTGGGTAATCAGTTCCGGTCGTCGGGTCGCGTACCACAGAATACCCGGAAGAGATTTAATTTATTCCATCGTCGATGAAGAATGTGGTAGATATTGTGGAAAAGTTCAAACCATGTTGCTTAAGGTAAATTAGTCTGCTGTTTACAAATCTTGCTATTTTTAAACAGAAGATTTTTTAAATGAAATTAAATTTATGAAAGTAGTTATTAATTTATATCGAATAATAATATAAGTTAACCGATAGCTTCCAGGGAAAAAACGATTCGGACCTTCTGGTTGGGCGATACAAACAAAGTTACAGATTTACATGTGGTTAGGTATCTTAAAGCATAAGAAATACTTTACTCAAGGTTTGCCAAAGGGATACGAATTGAGTTACGAGTTGAAGAACGTCGACCGACAGCGCGCTTTGCCACCAACTATTATTCATTACGTCGACAAACATGTACGTATTTGATATGTAATTTTTCGGATATTAAAATTGTCACATTATCGATACATATGCATTATGGTCAATTATACTTCGTAAAACGGAGGATAAGGAATTGTATTGTGAGTAGAAGTTCCAGTTAAGAGCGCACATGTATCAGGCCCGGTCTTTGATCGGAAGCGACGCATCTGGTCTTTCCGATCCCTTCGCAAGAGTAATTTGCGGCGAATTTTGCAAGTCCACCCAAGTGATAGATGAAACGTTGAGTCCTACGTGGGATGAACTGCTTCTTTTCGACGACATCTTAATTTACGGGACCGACGAGGAAATTAAAAAGGACCCACCGTCGATCGTCATTGAACTTTTTGATCAAGATAAAGTGGTATGTCATGATGGAGAATTTTTCGGACATAAGCTCTGCTGTGTTTTTAGTTGCGATACAATTGCCACTTAAAAACGTAAAGAAAAACCCCTTACAACTAGTTGTAACCATTTTTCTTACCTTTTTGTGATTCTTTTTTTACAGAGTCATTTTGTAACTATGGACATAACACTGCATGAGGGCTCTGCTTTAACAGTTTGTATACGATATACGACATTCATACGCAAAACACACGCTTCCACATTTTATTTTTTCGACATCAGTTTAGGTACAACAGCATTTTAAAGTTATTTTGAAGTATCGATTTGTAATTATCAAGGCGTGTCTATAACGTTTCAGAAAACATTCATCGATCGAAAAACAGAAGTCGTACCCTTATTGTAATATGCAGTTTAGAGATAAGTAACACTTGAATATTTTTCAAAAGACGAAGCTCTTGAAAATATCTGAAAAACGTAGAAAACGAATTTTTCCTCGCGACAAGGATTTCTTGATAAAAAAGAAAGAACGACATGAAAAGAACTTATTTCGAAGAAATTGAACAAAGTAAACGCATGCCGGTTTCAGGGTAAATCGGAGTACATAGGTCGGGCGATCGCGCGACCTCACGTGAAGCTTGACTCTGAATCATACACACCACCGAAATTTCCGCCGTCTTTGGAATGGTGCGACGTAACGAGAGGCGCTGCCAGGGCAGGTGAACTTCTCGCCGTTTTCGAGTTACTCGAATACCCTTCTGCTACAGATTACGGTTTTCCCACGTTACCAGACCCGAAGGAGGTAACCCAAATGCCTGTCACAGCTCAGGACCAGGGTCCCATTCTTCCGGTTCCTGTTGGCATCCGACCAACCCTCTCCAATTACCGGTGAGGTTTTCAAGCCCTTCCTAATCTGTCTAATTTCGTTGTAATTTCTATAAATGTCAGTTTGTTTACACGGAGGGTATTTTATATTGCAGAATCGAAGTCTTATTTTGGGGTCTAAGGGATTTAAAGAGAATACATTTAATGACCGTGAACAAACCTCGTGTAGACGTTGAATGTGCTGGTCACATTCTCTATTCCTCGGTTATAATGAACGCAAAAAAAAATCCAAATTTCAATACACCGGTGAAATTCTTGGAATTGGAACTACCGGAACAGGAGCTATATCGGCCACCTTTGACGATCAGGGCAGTGGACTGTAGAAGTTTCGGTCGTTATACACTCGTTGGAACGCATACGATAAACTCGATCCATAAATACATGTATTGTCCGCAAACGAAGAAAGCAAAGGATGCCGAAGATAGGAAGAAGAATTTATACCAGCTGCAGCAATACACAGGTAAAATAATTTCAAGTTTAGAAGCTTGAAACCTATCGATTTACGAGCAATAATATTCGATACAAAAGGGCCTTTGATCCTAAGAAATTGGAGTAAAGAAGTCATTTATTAATATTTTCTACAAATTTTCTTCTTTACTTTTGTTAGGTTTCGATACATCGAAGACTAAAGGTCAATACCCATCCTTGCCAGAGTCTTTAACTGATCTTGAATTCGCTATTGGAGATGCGACTATTACTCTAGGATTAGAGCGAAGTTGGCCAACGAAGAGGGATAAAACGGAACTGAATATAAAAAAGAAACAAAGTTTAGTCAATGATGGAAGCATGGGTGAGTGTATTATACGCATAGAATTTAGAACACGAAGTGACATCGAAAAATTGAACGAATATTGTTAGGAGACTTCGGTCCGTACGAGGAAGAAGATGGCTGTCAAGATTGGTGGACGAAATACTTTGCCTCTGTGGAAGCCATGATAGAAGAAAATAAGGAACTTCGTAAAGAGAAACCAATGTTCCAAACTCAAGCAAATGGTACCGTTTCAACGTACTTGGAAGAAACATATAATCAAAATCAACAAGTAAACGTGTCGGGTGAGAAGAGTCCTGGCGTTACCGCAAAAAAGTTATTTGGCCTAAAGTCGACAGCAAACGCAGCGAGGTTTGTTTCGAAGCTTAGCCCTAAGCATACGTATCGAAAATTTCCCAAAACGGCATTGTTGAAAGTTTACCCGAACGAATTAGAAGCTCAGCCAGAGTTCGAATACTTTAAGGAATGGCTGCACACGTTCGAACTGTACAGAGGGAAAAAAACTGGAGACGAACCCGAAGATGAGTCTAGAATAGTCGGGAGCTTTAAAGGGGCTTTAAAAGTTTACAAATGGCCTCTACCAAGGGACTTGATAGATCATACAGTCATGGGATTCGATCCTCAATATGGTTTTTTTCAAGGTGTACCTTCGAACGAACCGATTCATGTCTTGGTACGTGTATATATCGTGAAGGCAAACGATCTCCATCCTTGCGATCTGAATGGCAAAGCAGATCCTTACGTCGTTTTACAACTGGGTGTTAAAAGAATAAGCGACAAAGAGAATTACGTATCGAAGCAGCTGAATCCTGTATTTGGCAAGTATGTACTAAGGCGATAATATATTCTGATGTTGAATCATTATATTTTGACAAATTTTACCTGCAAGGTGTTTCGAGATAGAAGCAACCTTCCCGCAGGACTCGTTGTTGACTGTTCAAGTATTGGATTGGGACTTAGTGGGCACAGACGATATGATCGGTGAAACGAAAATCGATCTGGAAAATCGATTTTATAGCAGGCATCGTGCTACGTGTGGACTAGCCAAAAAATACGACGAGTAAGTTCCAAATAAAATAACATTGACTATTGTTTCTTTTTCATGAAAAAGAATAACCCTGTTCATGCTAAAATGAATATATCGCATTGAAACGACATGGTGAAATGATTGAAGTTGTTGTATTTCAGATCTGGTTATAATAAATGGAGAGACGCGATGAAACCGACACAAATTTTATCGAAACTTTGTAAAGAAGGGAAAGTTGATGGCCCGATATATTCCCATGGAAAAGTGACAATTGGAAGAAAGACGTTTTCTTTGTCGAATGAAGAAATGGAATGCTACGTTCACACAAAAGGTGCATACAATTCGATGTACTGAAAGTCTTGTAAAGTTCGTTCAAAAATCAATTCCACAGAAATATCACCATTGCTATACTTCGTGTAACAGTGTTTTGACTTTCTAGGCATAGAAGAGCACCTTGCATTAGCTGTTCTTCATCAGTGGTACGCTTTTCCAAGAATAGGTTGTGCCTTGGTCCCTGAACATGTGGAAACACGTCCACTTTATAATCCTGAAAAACCAGGTATCGAGCAAGGAAAGCTGGAAATGTGGGTTGACATGTTTCCCATGGATATGCCTTCACCAGGACCATCAATCGACATTTCACCGAGAAAGCCTAAAAGTTACGAACTTCGTATTATCATATGGAACACCGATGATGTTGTATTGGAGGACGACGCATTTTTCACTGGTGAAAAAATGAGCGATATTTACGTCAAAGGGTATAGTATTTCTGTTTATAATATGCTCATAATGATTAGAATAATTTGGAATAGACTAGAACTGTAATGATTGCGATGTATCTAATATTAATTTTGCTTTGATCGGATTGTTAGATGGCTGAAAGGTCCAGAAGATTGCCAGTCTACTGATATTCACTACCGTTCTTTAACCGGAGAAGGAAATTTTAATTGGCGCTTCATATTTCCGTTCGATTATCTCGTAGCGGAAGAAAAGATTGTTATCAATAGAAAGGAAAGTCTTTTTAGTTGGGATGAAACTGAATGCAAAATTCCGGCTCGCTTGGAATTACAAGTAACGATATTAGATAAAAATTTGTACTTTATAATTATGATTGATTTTTATTTTTTATCGAATATGATCTATGCTATGCAGGTCTGGGATGCAGATCATTTTTCAGCTGACGATTTTCTGGGTGCTATTACTCTCGATTTAAATCGATTTCCTCGCGGTGCAAAGAATAGCAAACTTTGCACGTTAAGTATGTTGAAAACCGATGGATCTGTGCCAACTGTAAATATTTTCAAACAGAAACGAATAAAAGGTTGGTGGCCTTTCTATGTTAAAAAGGAAAACGAAGACATGGAATTAACGGTAAATTTCACTTTATGTTTGTATTAAAATTCTAATATATCACGCATTAACTTGAGGGTATTTTGTACTGAAAATATTCTCAGGGTAAAGTAGAAGCTGAAATTCATTTATTAACCAAAGAAGAGGCTGAGAAAAATCCTGCAGGTTTTGGAAGAAACGAACCGGATCCGCTTGACAAACCAAAGTATGTAAATAATAACAATCGAGGTAAAGAGTATATTTAAAAATGTTATAATATCGAATTTAGAATCATCATTATTCAAGATTACTTACAATTAAAACATACATTTTCTCATAATAATATAATTTATCGATACCTCGATTATTTCGTTTCAAAAACGTACGTCTTTAATCGATTTGTTTCTTCTTTCAGCCGACCTGATGCATCGTTCATGTGGTTTTTGAATCCTTTAAAATCTATTAAATATATCGTATGGCATAATTACAAATGGGCAATCCTAAAAGCTATCATAACAATTGGGATAATAATACTCGTATTATTGTTCTTTTATGCGATACCTGGTTATTCTGTTAAAAAATTATTGGGAGCTTAAAAATAGCACTTGCAAATTTTATTTTAAATAGAAAAAATATTTTGATAAGAAATAACATAGAGTATAGTTGTATTATTAGTTAAGTTTAAAAATATGACTTCTGATTTTTCAACAGTAATTTAGTTGTTCACTGGAAATGTATCGGTATATTATAAAAAGCTTATTTTTTCAACATGTAATATTTACACATCTTGTGCATTTACACATTTTATCACATAAATTTTTATAGGCCTCAACGTTTAAATTATCTAGTAACTACATCATTTTTAATGACTCGCATATTTCCTCCTTTTACAAGAAATTTTGAATAGTAAAATAAAAATTTATCGTGCTTCTAGATGAAAGAGCTCTTCTTAAAAAATAATTGCTGTATAGTGGACCAACGAAACAGTAACATAAAGTAATGTATATACAAAAAGCAGTACAATAAATAATTAGAAATGATTAGATGCAGAACAATAATGCGTGTATATAGTATTTTTACTTATCGAATATTTCATTAGAAATATCATAGCCTATTTCGTTGTAAATAGATAACTCAACGTATATAACGTGTATCCAGGAATGAATAAAAAAATATTAAACACTGACCAACAGAGGATTAACTTTTTTATACTTCTGTAGATAATGCTTCAAATTTATTTACTACATGCGGTATTTCCGATTCTCCGCTTGATGTTTCACTAGAATCTTCGGAATTATTAGATGTCTCCTTTTGAGATTTTCGATCTTCTAAGTGTTCCTCCTCGTCATCTTCATCTTCGGATGAAAAATATGTTTTTCCTACATCGCTAACAGCCTCTTCTTTATTCCTAGCTTGAATCCATCTAACTAGTTCAATTTCTGAATGATTTTCCCATTTTTCTGTAAAATTTTACTAGCTACAGAATATGATCCATTTGCATGTAAAATAACTATATAATAACAATTACCTTTGTTCTGTACCCAATCTGGAGGGTATATATATATACAAATTTTTCCTTCGAGTGCCATCCTTAATAATGAATTAGCTGCTCTATAAGTATCAAGTCTAGCAGCTCTTGCAGTAATGAAATTTCGTTTAGTAGCCCAACTATCGCAAATATCCAAAGCAGACCATGTATTGTCATTATCAGGATGTTGTAGTTTAAGTATCTTTGGTAAATCTATCCTTTCAGCTAAAAATTTAATTGCTGTGTATGGTTCCCTGACTTGAGCTATTGGAAAAGATCCCATTAATATTTGTAATTGTTTAGGCACTGTAGATGGAAATACTAATCCTGGGCAATCACAGAGACAAACAGTTTTTGTGAGAAATATAGTTTGAAAATGTTTAGTATGTCCTGGTGTACGTGATACACTAACAACCTTTCTTCCTATAAAAATATTTATTAGCTGATGTTTAAATATTTAAATGTCATTATTTGATTATTTCTTAGATTCTGGGCATACAAAAATATACTACCTACCCATTAATGCATTCATCAAAGATGATTTACCAACATTTGGAGTCCCAATACATCCAATTGTTAAAACTCCATTTTTATAATGTTCATGCTTGAAATAACTTGTATCTTCTTTTTCAATAGTAATATTCTCTTTATGATCAACATCATCTAAATCGAATTCCACTTGCATTTCTTCCTGAATTTTATCTTGCCAAGAAGTTAAATCTACATTATCTCTAACAATTTCCTTGCATGTCTCCAATAGTTTCTGAGCTCCTTCTGCAGCCATTTTAAGTTTTTGCCTCTTACGTCTTTGTTTTATTCCTTCTGTTTCATTTGTGTTCCCATGCAAATTATAAATAGGATATGATGTAAACATCAAAATATGTAATTTTGGATACATAGTATGAAAATATTCTTTCCATGCTATTACTAAAGCTGGTGGAGCTAAATCAACTTTGTTCAGTATTAAAATCATGTCTTTCTTAAGTTCATCTGTTACATATTGATATAAATATGGAGGAAACATTAAAGCAGGATATCTGATATCCACGATAATTAATAAAATATCAGACATCTCTAAAACTCTCCATAATTGCCTCCAAGTTTCTAAATTTAATTCAAAGTAACTAATAGTACTTAATTTTCCCATGTCTTTGAGATATTCCTGAAAGTTGGTTTATATTTATATATTAAGTTTAAATATAAACGACAATTATATTTACTTACAGTAAAATATTTTTGTTCTCTCAATTCTAACTGTTCCTTTGACATATTAAAATCCCATAGTGGCCTTCTCGGCATATTAATTTCAGATGGATAATAATTATTAGATACTTCTTGATCTTTAACAGATAAGGGTTCAATAGAACTTCTAGCTTGTTCCTTACGTTTCAACAGTTCTTCTTTGCTTTCTTGAAAGAATTGTAAAGTATATTTGTTTCTTGAAGAACTATTATCTTTTGGTTGTTTATTAATTTTTTGTATAGCGTTACATTCAAAATCAGTACTGTATACTTTCTCTTCATTGTATCTGCTATGACTCCCAGCTGTTAATTATAATACAGAATTACTGATTATGCACGGTTAATGTTTAAAATTTATTATTTATTATTATATCATACATACTGAGTAAAACCGAACTCTGTCTTTGCTTTTTGGCTTGCAATTGCTGTTTTTTCGCTTTACCACTAAATGGTTTCTTTCTTGTTCCTTGCGGCATTTTTCGACTACTTTAACCTCATAAATTATATAGCTCTTTTACTTCAGTATAAAAATGTAATATATTTCTTGATTATTATATCTTGAATGCTTATGTACATACTATGTTTCAAATTTAAGACATCGAAGTCTTGACTTTTAACTAGATTTTTAAATAATTAAAATTATTAAAACTTTCTTACATGCAATTTGTAAATACTCCATGTGGTATAAGACAAAACATTAGTAATTTATGACACGTAAATTATACACGAAAGCTTTAATTCAAATTTATTAACAAAAAATATATACTTTCATAAATTTATATTCCTTTTATTTAATACATAATTCAATTTGTATTTTACATTAGTTGAAAATTAATAATGTAATTAATATATTTATCTAAGTTGTTATTGAAAAACCATAACGATTACTTACAACAAAATAAGAATTTATATAAATTATTATTGAAATACGTATTATATTTGTATGTGAAATTTATTATTCTCTTTACTAACAAATAATGAAAGAGGTTTGCTGATTGGTTAGTATCAAAAATTGGTGAACGCGAGCGTGAAACGCTCAAGTACACGTATAAATATGTTTCTTATAATTTGTGATCATTGATGTGTGTAGCATTAATTATTCTACGGCTTGATATAACATATTAGTTTAAATACCAGTTTTGTGAAAAGATATGGATAATAAAAAAGCATTTGTATATATGCAATAAGAAATATACATATAACCTTAATATCATTAGTACCGATTGATTAAAATATTTTCATCAATTTTTAACATGTATATCAGGGTACAAAAGTCTTTGCCAAAATTTTCTATAAGTGTTTTAAAGACGATTATAAGAAAATGTACAAGTACGACACAAAATAAAACAGAAAATGTAATTTATCCTCCTATTTTGGATCTCTCTTATAGAGCTAGAATTAGAAGAAAAGGTCAAGAGTGGCATGATAAAATTAAAAAACTAGAAACTGTGGAAGAAAAGATATATGGAATTAATATGCCACATTATTATGGTTGGAAATCGTTACACTTAAAAGAAGGAAATGTTCCATATAATTCATTACAACATGCTCAATATATTACACGTACTCATCTTATGAATGATCATAAATTACCTGACTTTTATGATTCAGTAATTACAACTGAACAATTAGATACTCTTGTACAAACTCTCAAATATCATATAAAAAATATTGTTATGTTTGAATATAATCATAGATTGTGAGTATAATTATTTTAGATTAAAAGTTCAGAAACAACGATTATTATTCCCTTTTAAATAGCAAAATTATCTTATTAATAAATTTATAAAATTAATACAATAAAAATTTATATGTTGTAGAACACAGCAGGAAATAAAAGAAGAAATAAAAGAAGAGAAAGAAAAGTTAATACAGAATAGTATTACAAATGCACTTGTTTTTCAAATTAATCGAATACTATTGGCTGCATTGTCTCCAAACACACCACATTTGTTAGAAGCTGAAATAGACTTTGAACCAAGAGTAGAAGCATTTTGGTTTGTGGGTGGCATAGAACGTTCACCTAGAAGTGTAAAAGCAAGGGAGAAGTCAGTATATTTTAAACATCGTGCAAATGATCCAGTTAATGTGCCTGTCCAATATCTTGGTTCTCCAATTCTACAACTAAGACATCAATTTCCTTTAAGAGAAATTCTTTCTACAGAACAGTCTATTAATCCAGAATTAAGTATTCCTACATTTAAACTTGATCCTAGAGTACTTGGTTATCAATTTACACATAGGCATGCAACTTATATACCTCTGCTGAATTTGGTTTATTATCCTATCATAATTTAAATGATATATTTAATAATGCAGTAGGTATGAGTGAAGAAACAATTACTGTGCAGGCTATATTTGCATCCTATGCTTGGTTGTTATCACAGGCTTCTTATCAAGGTATTACTTTAAACAAAAAATGTTTCTTTTCTAGATAAAATTATTTCTATGTACTTTGCTATGCATAAATATGAATATACTGTATTATCTATTTTATGTTCCATAATTTTAGGCTTTTCTACAGTTAATGATATAACATATCCATTAGTATCGCAAACAATTTTAACAAATGGTCGGTTATGGTCGTTTTGTGTTTATCAATTAAACACTACATTAACACATACAGAATATGCGGAAGAAAATCCTAAACGTAATGTATGTTGGATAACAGAATCATTACCATTATTTGATAAAATAGAAAATGGACAAGTTCATGGGTTTAATGAAGATGTTCTAAAAAAGTTGATCACATTTTATATCAATATACCTGCAGAAAGAAGTAATGAAAATATGAAACCATATTTAGGTGAATCTGTGAAACATATTGCCGATATTACTAACCCATACCGTAGAGTATGGTTAGAATCAAGGTTTAAACATCTTATGTCTAATAGACCACGACATTAGTACGTAATTTTATATACAAATAATCAATTATGTTTTAAAATTCGAAAGCGTATGATTAATTATCATCGTGTATAATTTCTAATTTCTTTGTGTTACAGTAAACAACCTGAAATATACCATTGGCAGAAAATTTATCTAATTGATAACAACACTCGATTTCTGGACAAAAAACGCGATCCTTGGCAATTTGGTTACTCCGCGTATAAACGAAAATTAAATGATCATTTACCAATATATATACCAAGATGTTTGAGACGACTTCCAAATAAGAGAAAAATAGGTCGTTGGGCAAAAACATATTATCCAGATGCATGAGATATTATATTTATGTATATTGAATACAAATACTGTTAATAGTAATAAAAAAAAATTTTCCTGTCAATTTCTATGTAACAATAGTCATTCATTTTTTAACTGTTTTTATTTAAAAGATTCCTTTGAATTATTTGGTACAATTACAATTTATGATTAGAATTAGAATTAGTACAGCTTGCAAGCATATTTTATTAATTGTATTTTAAAGTATTCATAGATTGTGGAGATAATTCCAAGCAAAGCGTGCCTTTTTGCAAATCCTTCAGAACTACATGTTTCGTGGAAGTCTCCCTAAAATAAAAAATAAATTTTATAAAAATTTCAATAAATATTGCTGCGTAAACATTTCGTATAACAAAGTGTTCGATTGTAATTGGAAACATTCGAATATCTTGCAGTACATGATTACGCAGTAATAAAAGAAAAAAAACATGATTTTCGTTACCTATTATATAGTACAATGACGGTTTCTTTCGAAGGTGTAAGAAAAGCAGCAGCTTTGACGGTATCCGTATCGGTAACGGAAATTCTTACAGAGCCTCTATCAACAAATCTACTAACGTGTTGGATAGCATAATACATAGGCTGTTTATAAAATTCATCGGTTTCTGGGTTCACAATGATAGCGGCATCGAGACTAATGTTAACGAGGTTTGGTACACCAGTTTTATCTAAAGCTAAATTCCAATCTACCCATCCGATTGACCAATGATTCAATTGCTTAATACAAAATACATTTCATTAGCACTCAATATCCTACTTTCGCAATTAGATTAAACACATTTTGACTGGAACAATCGTGGAATCAAGTTCTTTTACCTGTATTATGTCCAAGATATATCTTTCACCTCGCTGCCAGGATTCCGATTTAACTTTTGGAGTGTCCCATATTGGAGGTCCTATACGAGTACAAAATAAACGTATTATACATAATTATTTATTTTGTACCGAAGACTTTCCCGTGAAGAACTTACGTACCTATAGATGCTTCAGTCATGAGTATGAATTTGTCCGGAAATTCATCATGCAATTCGTTTAATCGATTTGGAGACGTAATGGAATCATTATACCAATGGACAGCTGTTCCAGCAACGTATTTTGCTACATCTTTATCCTTAAACGTCGGTTCAACAAATTCAGGTAATACTTCTCTGTTATCATCGTGGACTAAAATCAACGTCTTATCGTGTGTTGACGATTTCAGAGTTGGACCAAGGTACTTGCCAGCCCAGTTAGCCATCGTTTCTGGTGTCCATCCCATAGAGAGGTATGGAAGTTTGAATATATAAGCAGTTAGTGGTTCGTTACCAGTTGAAACTGCCCAGATGTCAAGACCGTTCTTTTTATACTCATCCAGAAATTTGATTATGTAATCAGCGTATGTTTGGTAGTATTCTTCTTTTAAGAAAGCTGGTTGACAATTGCAACTTTAATAAATAAACTTTAAGAAAATTTTAATAGATAAATAAATAAATAATAAATTAATTTGTTACTAGAAACATGGTTTTCGCTCTATTCGAAAAATATTATCATACGCACTAAGCCCATCGTCGTTACTTTTCATCCAAAATGGGACAGACCATGCAGCACTGAGGAACAGCGTATCGGGATTTAAACTGAGAGCTTCCTTTGCATATGGTATCTTGTAATCGTAATCTTCCTTGGTAAGGGAGAAATGCTTCATCGAAGTGTCATTGGCGATGTCATCGTACGTGTAAATTCTGGTAGAGAAATCAGAACCAGCGATAGGTATGCGACCCAGTGTATACTTGCTTCCACATTTTGGATCGTAATATGCTCTATAATTGATTTAAGTTTTCAATTATATACATAGGATAAAAAGTACAGCGCATTTACATCTTCGAGTTACGATAATCGGTTGTTCAGAATTTAAACATTATTCCGATTAACACTGAAAATTACCGAATCAGTTGTTTCTGAACAGCTGGACTGAGTTTTGCTATTTTCAAGCCATTTGTGTCAGTGAATGCACCGCCGAAGCCAAGAATCGTCTGATACTTTTTCGTTCTATCTAAGGTCAGTGTTGCATCCGAGGAAATATTTGCACAATTATTAAATTTCACTTTTGACACTTTCATTCTAAGACCCTGTTTATTAGACACATACCAGTAAGAGCTACCTAACTCCGGAACTTCCGGTCTATCTTCCGGTAACCCATCGCAGTACGTTGCATTGCAAACACATGCAATCACTTCGTTTTCTACATAATACGGTATGCAGTCGTTTGCGATACCTGTGATCAATAAAAATACTTGTAACAATTTTCGGAAAGCATATTTATGTCTAAAAATTAAGTCTTACATTTACTGGAAAGAATGGTAATCAGTAGAAGCGATATCCATATGTAATCCATGTTCATAATCGAGAACAATGTGAACATAAGTCAACTGACACACTTATATAACCTAGTTTTATACATAGTGGGGCGTAATAAAGAAAATAAATTATTTAATTTTCGACTAGAAAGACCCGTATGAGGTATGTGGAATACATTGTTTTGCAATAAGTTGTGCGATAAATAAGAAATATGATGGTTACCGGTAGCATTATCTAAGTGAGTAATTACCCTGTATAATTGGTTCTATTGTCTCGAATTTCAAAACGAAAGAAAATTTTGTGGCAGTTTGTGAATAATAACATTGGTGTTCGTATTGTGTTCACGTTTCATACAAATAATCTATTAGCTTATAATATTGTGTTTCATATCTTGTAAAAATTACTGCCCTACTAGGATTTATTAAATCATATAAATTATCGTAAATTATCGCAAACGAAGTTATTTTTTTCCACACCGAGATGATAGATTTTTGGACCTTAGGATGTTAGGTTTTATAAGTTACAAGTTAGATGAGAGTACCCCGAGTTTATCAATGTACATAATTATAGATATTTATATTTCTGAATAATTAAAATTGTTTATCAAAATTTAAAAGCAAGTCATCGATCGTACTTTTTACGGACTATTTTTACATTTTTACAAAAAGTTTTTTATGTGATTCGAAGCTGCTACAGTCTATTGTATTTTGTAGGCATTTCTGAAGTAATGTCAGTCCCATCTATGATTTTGATCCATCTATGAAAGCGGAAAATTAATAATTAATTTTCTCGGCCGATCATAGGCTATATAAGGCAAAATATCTCATTTGTCGGTCCTACTTCGGAAATGTAACCTCTAAATTTTCGTAGTGCTCGAGGGGTAGGAGTCCGAAGTGAGGTTGGAGATGGCTACTCCACCCCATTAAACAATTTACTAATATTTTTTTTTTTTTCAGGTATTAATTCTTCTTTTTTTTCAGGTTTTAATTATTATTTATTTTTTCAGGATTTAATTATTTTTTTTTATTTCAGATGTTATTTTTCGTTTATATTTATTTATATTTGACATTTCGAATATTTCGTATAATATTCGAATGTCTCATCGTTGGGTTATTTATCTCTCATCGTTGGTTTCTTCATGTCTCATCGTTTTTCAGACTTAAATTATTTTTCTTCTTCCAGATTTTATTTCTATATAAACATTCGAATATTTCATACAAGATTCGAATGTTTCGTCGTTGATTTGTTTCTGTCTCATCGATGGGTCGCTCTTTTCACTTGGTTGACCTTCATGGTTTCTATTCGTTCGTTTTCTTTCCTCGTATTAATCCGTTTCCGTAACATTAAAAGAAAAACAAACAATCAAGAAGTTGAAAAGTACATATATTCTTAGAAATGGAAATGAGTTTGTGAGAGAAAACAGTCCAGGTGTGTTTAAATCAAAAGGAAATGAAGCATGATTTAATTCCAGCCAAGATACCGCAGTGCAATGGAGTTGCTGAGAGAAAGAACAAATCCACCACAAAGATAATAAGGACACTTGTTCTTAAGTTGAAAATATGAAATTTTTAAAATCATTTTTGAAGCACTTTTAATTTACTTGAATTTACTTAAATCTTTGAAATTTTGTACATAATGGTATTTCAATAAATGGTAATAAAGTATTAAAAATTGACTGATTTTCTCAAAAAATATTTTAAATGGTCTTTTGTATAAAAACTAATGATTTTATGTAAATGAAAGAAATGTGATATGTATACAGCAAGATAGTACAGACTAAATAATAACTAATTATTAATAAACAATAAATTATTCTAATTGTGAACATGATGGAGCTCCAACTTCTTTCGCATCTTCAATATTATCACCAGCTTCATCATTATCATTATTATTTTTATCATATTTTTTTTTGTATTGTTTATTATTTGGTCTGACGTAATTCGGATCTTTATTTATAATTAAAATACTTATAAACTGTACAATGTATGAATATATTACAGAATAATTAAACTAAAACCTTTTTATTTATATGAACTCCACTTTGTCATTAAAGACTCTTACGTTGATTGTAATTTTATTAATTTCAAACGTTTTTGTCATGAATATTAAGCACTTTTTAATTTGTTATTTTTGTAATAGAAACATATTTTTATTTGTTTCATTGATATTAATAAAGATAAGAGACCGCTTGATATTTTACATCGATACTTTAGTGCATAGCTATTTCAAAGGCGCAGCATTTTCCCGCCACAAAAATACCGGTTACAACCAACTTCCAGTTGCCGGCAAAGCAGGCATACCGGTAACAAATGGTGGAATATTCTCGCGCGTGAAAGGGAAATATTAAAGATTTCCTCAAAACGTTTCGTGAAGTAGTGATATCGGCGATTGTTGTTCTAATTGCTGCAACTGAGGAAATATATATTTACGAACAATAACGCGACGTGTCCGGTATTAGTTCGTGATAATGCAGATGCAGGTTATGTTTGCAACATTATCTTAATATTTACGAACAGAACACAGCAGGAGTTAAAGAAATTGTGAAAAGTTTACGAAATTCAACATTAGTAACTGTGAACATTTCTTCGGTGGTAACATACTACATGTGTACAACTACGTATAACGATATCTGTGGGAAATAAAGTGGTGTGAGTGCGGGATCCTATAACACTACTGCATTGTCCGTTATTATCGGCTGTAGTAGATTCTAGACTTCGAATGTTCAGTAATATATTTGAATACTTTTATTTTGCATAGGCAGCTTGTTAACAATTTTTCCAATTTTTCTTCAATCTTGACGTTCAGTTGCAAGGTAGCTACGTATTGTCGCTCATACATTCTAAATTTCGATTGAGGATTAGGATATTTCATTACTCTTGCATAGAATAGATTGTTTTCTAATCCGTAGGGCAATCATTTTACGATTGAAGGTGCATATATGAAATAAAGTGACGGAAAAGCAAATGCCTGTAACATCGTACTATACAGTTTATTTTTCTCGCTTATACTTCTGAAATTATAACTTTCGACTAGGGTCTTTTCGTATAACAGCGTTGAAGAGATTTTTCGCTAATTATTATACCGATGTTTTTCCAATTTCGACCATTCCTTATGAAATTTAGTGGCGAAAGTATATGTATCTGTCCGATCGTGCAGCACAATTTATTTTTTCGCCTACATTTCCGAAGTTACGCTTTTCGGTTCGGTTTTTCCTACACAACAGTGTAGAGTGAATTCTTCTTTAACGGAATTGGATATTTTTTTTCTGTTTCGAGCGTGCCTTTTAATAGTAATAGTGCCGAAAGTGTCAGTGGCTCTCAAATCCTGCGACGCAATTTACCTTTTTGGCTTCTATTTTTTGAATTAGTCTTTTTGAATCGGATTTTTCCACATACTCGCGTAGAGTGATTTTTTCCTTGACGGGATTGGATATTTTTTTTCGGTTTCGTGCGTGCGTTTTTGAATAATAGTGCTGAATGTGTCAGTGGCTACGAAATCGTGCTGCGTAATAGACTTTTTTGGCTTCTAGCTTTTGAATTAGGCGTTTTGAATCGGATTTTTCCACATACTCGCGTAGAGTGATTTTTTCCTTGACGGGATTGGATATTTTTTTTCGGTTTCGAGCGTGCCTTTTCGAATAATAGTGCCGAAAGTGTCAGTGGCTCTCAGATCATGCGACGCAATTTACTTTTTTGGCTTCTATTTTTTGAATTAGTCTTTTTGAATCGAATTTTTCCACATATGCGCGTAGAGTGGTTTTTTCCTTAACGGGATTGGATATTTTTTTTCGATTTCGTGCGTGCGTTTTCGAATAATAGTGCCGAATGTGTCAGTGGCTACGAAATCGTGCTGCGTAATAGACTTTTTTGGCTTCTAGTTTTTGAATTAGGCTTTTTGAATCGGATTTTTCCACATATTCGCGTAGAGTGATTTTTTCCTTGACGGGATTGGATATTTTTTTTCGGTTTCGAGTGTGCCTTTTCGAATAATAGTGCTGAATGTGTCAGTGGCTACGAAATCGTGCTGCGTAATAGACTTTTTTGGCTTCTAGTTTTTGAATTAGGCTTTTTGAATCGGATTTTTCCACATATTCGCGTAGAGTGATTTTTTCCTTGACGGGATTGGATATTTTTTTTCGGTTTCGTGCGTGCCTTTTCGAATAATAGTGCCAAAAGTGTCAGTGGCTCTCAGATCGTGCGACGCAATTTACTTTTTTGGCTTCTATTTTTTGAATTAGTCTTTTTGAATCGGATTATTCCACATGTTCGCGTAGAGTGATTTGTTCCTTAACGGGATTGGATATTTTTTTTTCGGTTTCGTGCTTGCGTTTTCGAATAATAGTACCGAATGTGCCAGTGGCTGTGAAATCGTGTTGCGTAATTGAGTCTTTGTCTTCTATTTTTTGAATTAAGCTTTTTAAATCGGATTATTCCACATATTCGCGTCGAGTGATTTTTTGTTTAATTAGATTGTATATAGATAGTGCCGGTAGTGTCCGTGGCTCTCTGATCATGCTGCGTAATAGATTTTTCGGCTTCTATTTCCGAAATTAGGCTTTTGGATCTTTATTTTTCGTTTTAATAGGGTTGATTAAGCTTTCCTCTAACTAGTGCCTCATTATCGACATGCAAATATGAGGATCAGTGAAGAGATGGGGAATGAACTCTTGGTAATATTTATGAAAGTCATAGATATATTGAGTATAGAGTGTATATGTTTTATTAAGACAAAAATGTGTAGAAATATCTATAGGAATTTGGCGAATTTAAAAGCCATTGTTGCAATGGGGCTGTCTAGGAAGCCAATATCAAAATGAGGAGAAAGGTATGTCTTCACTTCTGATATTAATTCAAGAAGTAACCATTTGATTGACTGATATATACATGACCAATGATTTAATATGAAATATTATTGACGAAGGATTTGTTTTATTAAAGAAGACTGATAGATATGAGTAATATTTATATACAAGAGCCATCTACGATGGGTAAAGTAAGTATTAATTAATAATATTCCAATATATTGTATATCTGTTTTTAAAAAT